TTGCACAGTTCAATTGAATACAGTAAACTAATTTAACATATTCATTACTGATTTACCTCTTATGAAGACAAATAATCAAATTTGGTCTATTCTATTACGACCACAAGTCATTTTTAAATGATAAAATAAAATATTACGGAGTTAGCAAGCAAAAATTAAAATATAATTTTGCTATTATAGGTTTGATACTAAATTGCTAATAAAGAAATGAAAAATAATTAAATAAAAAAAGCAATTGACGATAATTTTAATTCTGAGATCCAAAACATTTAAATGTACGATGACTTTCGTGGGGTAACATTTTTGTTACTATTTGATTAAAAAATTAACTTTTGCTTTGTTTTTAAAATATTCCGTGCAGTTTTGCTAAGAATAGATTATACATCTTATTATCAAATACCCATTGTGAAATATTCATTTTAATTATTGAATTATTATTTTCTCTTTCAATATAAGTTATAAGTAAGTGAGCACTTTTGGGAGCCTCTGTAATTATTAAAAATTATTGATATATAATCACCTGAAACGGTTTTCTTTTCTTTAATGAAAATATATTAAACAATCCTTATCCAAAGTTTTATTGGTGATTCTGATTTTGTCATTTTGTAGGTACACTTTGAGCAAATACTACTTAAAACAATTAAAATTATTCAATAAAAACAATATATTCTGCAAGCTAAACATATTATCTTCTCCACGTCGTAATTTTTTAAAAATTAATGTTGTACCAGAACATTAAAAATAATAAAAAAATTAAAATTTTTTCAAGCTATGCTTAAAAAAATTTTTTTTGAATAAGATATTTTATAATACAGACACTTTTCTTGTACACATCCTACACTTTATAAGAATAAAGGAAAAAAACACAAACCTGGAAATTTTAAGATTTTTACCTGGAAAAATCAGGGAAATTTGAAATCTGTTTTGAGTGGCCACCCTGATAAAGAATTTGAAGGACAAAACTTAGTCCTTCTTTCATGTTTTTTTTTTTTACTGGTTAAACAACAGTTTATACCAAGACATGGGAAAAACCTGGTACATAGTTGTCAATTCTACTGGATTTTCCAGTAGACTAGTTTTTTCCAGTTTCTCCTGGTCTACTGGTATAATTAAAATTATCATTTTTGTGCATTTTCTGAAAATTCCCTAAATTTGAGTGGTTTCATAACAAAATCCCTATTGAAATAGGATTTTTGTACAGATTATTGCTTGAATATTTAAATAAGTATTACTAATACATAATGAAGCGAACCTCAGTTATAGAATTTTCCATTTTATTTTTATTCTGAACTCTTTTTTTTTTTAAAGTAAATAAAAAAATATTTTAACTGTCTTACTTTGACTTGGTCTTTTAATATTTAAAATTATGAGTATATACATAATACATAACATTTCAAGTCTGTTTTTAAATGTCGATCATAACTGGAAAATATTGAATTTTTTTTATTTTGATCACCATAAAAATCCCCAAAATTCCCTATGTGTTAAATATTTATTACATTATGCAACAATTATCATAAAATTAATATTATTTCATAAAATTTACTGGATTTTTTCCTATCCATGTTGGCAGCTATGTTGGTAAATACTATTAACCCATGTTTTCTTTATTTGCAGATATGATGGTTTATTATTTATAACTGATTGGAATATAATTATTTCCAAGTTATAGCAAATATTAATAATTATAATGTACATGTATGTATACATTTCCCTACAATAATAGAAGGCACTTTGAGTTTTTGATATTGTTTTAAATTTCTCAAGAAATACTTAAAGGATTAATTTATAAGATATGTTTGCTTTGTTCACACAATTGTTCATATTTAACAATAAGATTTAAAGCTTTCAGAGATTTTTGAAACCGAGTATAAATTGTGAAAGATAAGTATTTTGAACACCCTATGCCAGAAAGTTAAGCCATAAACTTGTAACTTGCATCAATTACGTTAGTTGTCAGTTAAAAAAACTGCGTAAAATTCCATAAACCTAGAGTAAATATTTATAGATAGAAATTTTTATAAGAAACAAATTTTTTTGCTACAATTTTATAAATATTCAATAAAATCAAGAAATGTTTGTAGAGCAATTTAAAATTAATTTGAAAATTATTTATTGAAAATTTAAAATAAAAAGTTTGTTAAAAATGGAGCAAGATTTATTAGTAGGTAATTAAAAGGTAGTTATTTCATACTGCGCATATGCAAAAAAATTAAAAACGAAAATTTCTTAATTTTGTAGTGAATTGTGTTTGGCAACTAATGAAATAACTTTGATTCGAATATCTTTAAAATTTAAAAAGTTTCAAGCAATTTAGTAAGTAGTTTTTGTATTTTTTAAAAGAAAACTCGAAACGATCAGGAGTTTTCCTCAAATTTTATTTTGTTTCATAAAACAAAAGTTAACAACAAATGATAATACCTAACAATTGTCCTGTGATCAAGATGTGATGGTTTAAGAGATGATCCCCCACAATACCATCTCATTTTTCAATTTGAATATCATTTTTAATAAATATTGTTTAATAGTACGAAATGAATTTTCAGGAAAACCCATGAATGTTAAATTAACCCGGAAGTTGTTGCAAAAGAATGATCATTTTCTTCCAGCAAAAAAATGGTCATATCATGGTTATTTTCTTGTTTTCTCTTTCCCTTTTTTTCTATAATCTTGTTCATAGTTATGTTTTAAAAATTTCCTCTAGTTTTTATTTTTAAATGTTAGCTATGGTATATATTAATCTTCCATTTCTTTTGTTATAGATTCGGACATCACTGCCAGTGGTTTGACATCTAAAGCTGAAGTTGGCGATAATCAAAAATATATATTTTCTACAAATAGTAGTGACTTGTGTTCTGGCCGTAAAGCTAGATTGGCTCATTTAGCTGCACATATCAACCAGTGGGAGGATGACCTTCATAGACCAACTGACTCGACCAATTTTGTGGCCGCTGCTCGCTCCAAGCTTTCTTCAGTTGATACACCAGATTCTGTGAGTACTACTTCAAACCTGCTCCCAGGTGCCTCTTCGACACTTTCAGAGAATGTTTCCAAAATTGATGTTAAGCCCAATGTGGCTGTTGCTTCTGTGTCAAAACCTGGATTGCTTTCACCTTCAAAAATAAAGAACTTTGATAATAGTTCAAAATCAGTTAAAAACAAGTTGGGTGTTTGGGATCAAGCTATTAAAGCAGCATTGGTAAGTGATTTTAGCTTTTGTCATGAAATAGTAATTTTTTTTATGATGTTTACTACTTTTTCCTGCTTTTTTTAATACAAATAAATATAATGCAGTTTGCATAGCGTTTCTAAAGAGGCCTTATTTTAGATTTTTGTTTTTTAAGAGCCTTTAAAGGTGCTTTTTTCATTCATTAGGTGTTTTTAAGCAGTGCTTAATTTTCCTTTTTGAAAATGGGATTTTTTTTACCATGTCAGCTTTTATAGTACCATAATAGCTTTTATAGTATTAAAATGCATTAATGTTCAAAACCAAGACGTTTCACTTCTTGCAGTGTTTTCATCATAGAAAAAAAATGGGTGAGAATTTCTCACCCTTTCTCAAAAACAGGGTGAGATTTCAAAAAGTTAAGTGAGATTTCTAAAAACTGAAAAAATACAAATAGACTTGGAAAAAAAATTTCTTTTGTTATAATACATTTTCAACGTCTTCTATTTTTTAAAGCATTGAATATTTTTGCTGCACCATCATAGAAGATTTTGCCTTTACTAGGTATTTGTCCATCTTACATTAGCGCATAAAAAAATTTGAACGTCTTACATGAAAAACCATACCTACAGTAAACACGTGGTTGCAGAGAAATGTGTTCTGAAAGGGGTTCCGTGGTTCGGAGGGGTTGTGTTCTGTTGTTCGAAAAGGTTCTGAACAATGCCTACTGGTAAATAGGGAAGCTGGATAACGGGGCAAGTGTTGAAAATAATGAAGATCCAGGAAGAAAAGTGAAACGGATTTTATTCTAAATGACGTAATTCGAAGCTTTTTCCAAAATGCGAGAAATTCACGAATTTTGAAATTGATTTATAGAATGCGCGAATTTCTCGCGGTAATCATTTTTTAATACGAGAAAAGAAAAAAATATGCGAGATTCTCGCGCTGTAGTGAAAACACTGTCTTGGTATTGCTATTTACGAATATGTAAAATTTTTCTAAAAGCAAATTGAAGTTTGTATGTAACATAACTTTTTTGTAATATTAAAACAGTGCCTAATGAGGTTATTACAAATATAATAAACTTTATATAAAACTGTTTTCAGTCAAAATATATAATTAAAATAATGAATATATATTTGTTATTATTTATTAACAAAATAGTTTGGGTAGTGCAAAATATTTAACCAATTTTTATAATAACTGAAAGTTGAACATGAATTTTAAAAACAAAAATGTATATCAAATTGCAATTGCTACTGAGCAAAATGCATATGTTTAAATTTTATCCCAATGAACTAAAATTAATTAAATTTTATCCCAATGAACAATCTAAAATCTGTGTTTAACAATAAAATTTTTTTCGATCTTTGAATTTAGTAATTTAAAATTTTTATGTATCAGTAAGAAGTCAACAATATAGCAAACTATTTATTTTGAAAACTGTATCTGAAAAAGGCAATGTTTTCTCTCTCTCTCCCCCCCCCCAAGTCCGACGGAAGCCTGGGGTTTTGTTAGGCTTAGCTTTTTCAAAAAAGTCTGGGTATTTTTAAACCTTGTTCAAAACCAGAGATTCAGCTGCACTCTTTACGTCAAATCCAGCAAAAACTGTTATTTTGATGCAAAAAAAAAAGTTTATGCAATTATGGGATGCATTAATTCTCCTCTGCAAGAAATAAAATTAAATAGTGTGCTTAAAGATTTAATTTATAAAGGCAGCCTTGCCTTAAGCCATGCCTTAAAAAGATTTATTAATATTTAAAGTAGAAAGAATAAATTTAAATTTTTGTGCAGGTCTAAATTTTTTTTCTTTTTGAAACTGCGTTTGATATTTTAAATTATTTCAAATTCACATAGAATTCTCTAATTTTTAAAAATTTAGAATTTTTAGTAAGCATGTTATATTAGATAGCGACCCACTTTTAGTAAATAAGGATCTGAAAATTTGGGAGTCGTGGATCTTAAGAGCGTGTAAATTTTTTGAAGTCTTGCATAATCACTGAAAATATTTCACTACTCTTTATCATTGGGATGTTGAATTTTTCTTTGGCAGTAGTTATTTTATTAATGTGTTTTTGCAATGACCAAGTGCAATGGGCCCTTGGTTATTGCATTCTTATTTTTTATAGTAATAGCTATAACAAAATGAAACCGATGCTCATCTCTCATTTTCAATTTAAAAACGTCCCATCTCAAGTTAGTTTATTGTGTGTTTTGGTAGAAATGCTTGAAAATGTTATTGTTTATTTTTCTTAGCTTAATAAATTTTTTTTAATGTTTTTGCCTTTTTTTCCCTTTTAGGAGAGTGAAGATATTGGTAAACCTCCCAAAAAAAGACTAAATGAAAATAGAGAATTTATCGAAGAAGATAGACCTGTTAATAAAAATTCTTCAAATAATTCTGTAAAGAGTTCTCTTCAACAATTCAGTATGTTTTGTTTTTATTTTCGTTATTAGCGACTGAAAAATTATCCCTTAAAAATATTAATGTATGTAAATGCCTTTAAAATGCATAGAGGTGCTAGTTAAAGATTTTTTTCCCCTTAACTATCAAGAGTTACAATATTTTGTTTGTTGCTATTCCATAATTTTTTTCTACTTCTTAAGCAATTTTAAGAGTAATTAAAGCAAAAAGAAAAATTTTAGACGAGAAATAAAAGAAAGAAAATAATTATATTTCTAATTATTCTGTTTAAAAAAAATTATATTTAATTTATAATTGCACACAGGTAGAATTGCTTGTGTTTACTACAGGTTTAAATTTTTAACTGTTAATTTTTTTAAATATTTTGTTAAAATTTTCTCAATTAGTTTAAATTTCATTGCAAATCACTGTTTTTTTAATATAAGTGTTTTTTTAAATTTTTTATATCAAGCATAGTGAAATAAATTGCTCGTAAAAAATTATTTTTTCCAATTCTAAATTGTCAAAAAAATTGCTTGGGTATTTTTTTAAAGATTTTTTTGTCAATTGTAGAGTAATTATTTCTTGCTCATACAAATTCGAAAGTTTATATATATATATATATATATATATATATATATATATATATACAAATATATATATATATATATATATATATATATATATATATATATATATATATATATATATATATATATATATATATATATATATATATATATATATATATATATATATATATATATATATATATATATATATATATATATATATATATATATNTATATATATATATAAACGAAGAGAGAAATAAAAGTTGAAAAAAGGAAGCATTTATTGCCAGGTTATTAATAATGTTTGATGTTTAAAATAGGTAATAATTTTTAATATTTTCCAAAATTAACAAATGTATATGTTTATAACGAATTGTGTCTGTTATTTCAGAAGATAAACATGTAAAGGAGGATTTGAACAGAAGCTTTGATCCCACTGACCTTCCATTGTCTGCCCGCAGAGCTCTGTTTGAACAGGCCTCTCAATTGGAAAATGCAAAGCCTAAAGAACATTCTTTTGAGCCCAAGCTCTCTGTTGCACAGCGAGCGGCTTTGTTTGAAAATGCATCTCAGAGAAGCTTAGTCTCAAAACCTCTAGCACATACTGCAAAAAATATATCGCCTCAAAAGCCAAATACAATGGCTAGTATCAATGCAAGAAGTCCATTGAAGACTCTGCTTACACCTGAAAAGACACCGAAACAAGAAAGCACAAAAGGTTTGTAAAAATCATTTTTTTTTAAATATTTATTTTTAAATCAGATTTTTATTTTTCATCATGGGTTTGCCACAAATCAAAGAAAAGGGAGAACATGGAATTTTTTCTGTCTGGAAATTTCTTGTAATTTTAATTAAATTCCCAAAAATAGTCAGGAAAATAAATAAATTTATGTTTGAGGTACTTAATTACGAATAATTTTTCAAAAAAAATTGGTCTTGTAATAATTAATTTAATTTTTTTTTAAAAATTTAAATTACAAGTATTTGTGTTTTGTAATGTATTGTTTGATTCAAAATAATTTAAACTAAAAAATTAATAAAATTTGCAAAAATTGTATAAATGCAATAAAATCAGCTTGAGAAACCAAGGAATTGTTTTTACCCCCTCGGTATTTTTTTATACTCCACTACAGATTTTTTTTAACATAGATTTTTTTTTACTATTTATTTCTAAAACTTATTACGCTAGGTTGAATGAAATCCCTGTTCATGTAATCAAACTTAAAAAACACAAACTTAAATATATATTTGTATGATACAGAATAAAAGTTTTCAAAGTAGATCAGTGTTTCCCAAACTTATGACTTTTGTCTACCCTTTCTAAATTTTTCATAACGCTGTGTACCACTAAGAGAAAAATAAATGTATTTTTTACTATAAAAAAATTACACAAAAGTCCCTACTGGCAGTTGACACCACTACTTATTAACTGTTAGCTCAGCAAAAAATAACTAATAGAAAAATACTTAATCGTAAATTTTCGTTTGTTGCAAGTTATTTCGCATAAGAACGCTTACCCCCGCTAAACTATTCCTGTACCCCTGGGGGTACGCATACCACACTTTGGGAAACATTGATCTATATCAATGATTAAATAAAATCAGATGATTTTAATAAATTTAACCTTAAATAATCAATTTAATCAAAGAACTTGGCATTTTAATCACGAAATCCCTTGGTAGGAAAATGAAGTAATGATTTTTTAATATTTTTCTTTATTAATTCATTTGTTATATTTTTTTTTGCAGTTTTGGGTTCTCCTATTGTAAAAGCTTCCCCTATCAAAAAGATTAATACTGACACACAGGCTGTTGAAAAGATGCTGCTAGCCAGAGTAAACAGCAAAATGCAAATAGAGGAAAATGTAAGTGAACAAGAAGAAGTGAAAGATAAAGCTGAGTTAGTAAATTATTGGGAAAAGCTCTCTGCTTCTTCTAAGTCTGGAAATAGTCATTCTGAAGAAGTATGTTGTTTTACTTTATCAAAACCTTTTTTATTGTGCTGAAATATTTGCTTATAAAAATTGATTTTCAGTTTTATTTTATATGTATGCAACATAAACTTACACTAATAGGGCTCCCGTGGTACTTGTGAAAAACCTTGAAAGTCCTTAAATTTCTTGATAGGGTTCTTGAAAAGTTTTTGATTTTCCGAAGTAATTTTCAAAATAGTATTAATCTTCTCTGCTAAAAAGCATGAAATAAAGGAACTTCCATCAAAATAATAGAAATTTTGATCACTTCCTCACCTTTTGCCTTTTTCTTTTTTGCAAGAACAGGTTGATAATCAATTAAGTGGCAGTCAAATAGTCTGATCTAATTTAGAAAAAGACTCTTAAAATTATTTACCCCTCTCCTGTGATTGGATTAAAAAGTACAAGTCAACCAACCCAACACCACAACCAACCAATCAATGCTAGAATTACAAGACTTGAATACATTACGTAGAACTTCAGACGGGTCATTTTGGTTTTAGATAAATTTAAAAAGCACAGACATTTAATTAGGATAAATAATTTTTTTCTAAGGTAATCAGCATTTCACAGAATATACTTCTTATATTACATAGTTGCCAACTGTTCTGAATTTTTTGGATTTGTTCCTAATTTTTAAATCAAATCTGAAGATCTGATATTTTTATAAAGAAATCGGAATTTTCATAAAATTGCAGTATGTTTGCTTTTAAGCCAATCCCTTATTCTGATTGCTGCAACCGCGCTTCCTGTGTTTATTGTGCTGAAGTAATTTTTAGTAGCTTTTTATTAGAAAATACTATTCCAATAGCTGTTGATGATCATTTCACTAAGAGAAATCTTTAACTACTATTTTTTAAACAATTTATTGTAGTATTTTAACACTTTTTCAGAAATATTTGTTTGTGATGTAGATTATTATTTACCTGTGTTTTATAATTTTGAGAAGAATAATTATATATTAATAGGTAATGGTTGTTTTTGAATGCCTAATTATAAAATATTAATATTATTAATTTCCCTCAAAAGATAGTGTTTCTAGTTTTGTTTTACTAATTTTCATACAGTATTTAAATATATGTCTATTAATGTCATTATTTATTAGTTAAATTTTGGTCTTACTCTCGTAATTTTTGCGTATTATTTTGTCAAGTGTAAGAATTTCATTATTTCTCGAAATTTGTCTTATTGTATTGTATTTTAGAATAACAGTGATTCCCAATCCATTGGCTACAGGCTGTCCTGTTTTGATCCTTTTTCACAATACAAAATGGGCATATAAAATTGATGTAAAAATAAAGTATCAATTTTTTATAATTCTATGTTCCATTAATTTTCATGAATCTGTTGATGAACTTCATCGTCAGAACATTTCTTTTAATGCTTTAATATCCATTTATCTTTTGAAACGTCTCTAGCCATTCTTGATGGACTTGGTTCATAACATTGATTTTAACATGCAATGGGGTCCCCAACTTTCTTCTGTGGGACATTCCAAACTGTCCCATATTTTCAAACTTCATTATTTTTAACTTTGAATGTTATGGCTGATTTCTTCTTCAGATTTCCTTCCGCGTAATGTGCTTTTCTGTTCAAATTTATTTTTACCTGAAAAATTATCATTACCGCGATGGCTTGGTCCAGCAACCGTTCAGGAACTGTCTAAGTTTTGACTTTTATTCAGTAGCAGGATTTAAAATGTCTTCATTAGAAGGCAGGCGTTCTTCCCCGCTACTCAAACCTAAAACAATGTTGTTATTATCATCTTCTGAATCATTTTCAGTTAATTGTGTAAGAAAATTTAAAAGCTTCTTAAATGGTGTGATTATGACAACCTGACATACTTAGAATAAAAATTTAGAAAAGAAACTTCAAACAGTCTTAGAAATGTTCCTTGAAATTTTTCTCCTGAATTCAAACTGTTTTCACACACCAACAAACATAAGTATTATGACGGATTGAAAACCTTCACTTATACCTCATTCGCTTCAGATGTATGCTTTGCTCTTGCTTCCAAGGGAAAAATGTTATCGTTTTCAGCATTTATGCATTAACCCTTTTGCGACGGGAAGCGCAAGCGCACGCTTATTGCTGAGGCCTGCAGTCTCTCTCGCGAGTGTCTGTTCAGGGCCGGAGGGTTTTTTACTGTTTAGCCTCAATCCATGAAATAACCGAAATATCACCGTGTTGTTTAATAATGTTCTGCAGAGTATTTAAATGACATATGCTTTATGTATATTTCTATAGATATTTTATTTACTTAAGTTATTTCTTGTTTAAATATATATTTTACACATTTTATTTTCATTATGTACTTACCATTTAATAACTTTTAACATAATATATCTGAAAACTAAATATATGACTTAAAATAATTTTTTCGTATGAAAAATTTGAAAACACTAATATTGCACTAAAAACTGGACCGCAAATCGGAATACCCAATGCTATGGCAAAAAAAAAACAACCTCCTTTGCTTACTGTAAACAAATACCACGCACGAATTTAAAGAGCTGTCATAAAACATTTCTTTCTCTTCCTTTCCTTCCCTCCAAAAGCCATGTGTATGTGAGTCATACTACTCTCATTTTGAGTAGAAGGTCAAATCTACATGTATCTGAAATCAAATAGACATACAATGCCATCTTCTGGCAGAAATTTTATTTTTTGAATCGTTCAAGGACACTGGCACAAATGAGTGATGGCCGGGGGTGAGCGAGAAAACGCTCTAGCACACAAGCATGTCAGTGCGTCTCTTGCTGGCACGTTTATGTGACGGTCGGAGCTAAAGGGTTAATGTTCTTTGCGGTCCTAGCTATCCTGTAGATTATTATATTCCATTTAATTATGTTACACCTTTTTAAAATACGGTAAGTTTAGAACTTATTTATTTTTAAAGCATATTGGCTTTGTTTCAGGATATAACTGAGAAACAAGATATTCCAGAAAGTGATATGTATCAATCTGAAGATGATCAGGATGGTTATGAAAGTGAAACCGAATCAAAATATGAGAGAGAATCGGAGTCAGAATTTAATTACAATACAGAAATCACAGAAACGGAATATAGTGAATCTGATCATGAAAGTGATTCCCCGTCCGAAAATGTCTTCAAATCGCCCAAAGGTTTTCCCATTGGGAGCTCTCATGCTCCCAAACCATGCATTTCTGGAACAAGTATGTATTTTAAATTAAATAAAAAAATAGATTTGTATTGGAATATTTTAAGATTAATTTAATTATAATTGTAATTTTGTTTATGTAATTAAACTAATAACAGCAAAAGAAAGGAATTTGTGGCAGGCAGACAATTATACTGATGATACATGCGATGCCACTTCTTTGTCTGATGGGAGCTCTTATGCTGAAAGTACAATTTCAACTGACATTAGATCTGTAAGTATAATTTTTAAAATGAAAATAAAATTATGTTTGACAGTAGCTGTTCAAATATTACCTAAGCATATTTTTAATTGTTTTGATCAATTTTTATTTTGAATATAAAAAGTTTTTTTTGGTATATTTTTTCCTATATGTAAGTTCCTTTTTATTTCTTACTGTATTATAAGTGAAATATTTCCTTTGTTTTGCTTTTACAAATTTAACAAAAATTTATGTAATTTTTTATTAGAAATTTGGGAATTTCAGAAAAAAATTGGTATTTTAAATGCTATTTTTGCTACAAGACATATTTTTAAGTTGGGTGCAGAATCTGCAGATGTGGCCCGCTGACTGTTATTGCGCATCCCATTTGAGATTTTGAATACAAATTTTATTATGAAAATAAAAAAGATGTTGAAAATATTGAGTCTCACATTTGATTCATCTCTTTTTGACGAGCTCAATTTGCACGAATCCTTTTGTAAATCTATTTTATTTCTCATTCGCTTTTTCAGTGGTTATTGCCACACGATTTCTAGTATTTAAGAATCCAATATTTTGAATATGTTACTTTTATTAATAACTTTTAGACTCGCTTTATTTTTACTGGTTTCATCCTAAATAATTGTTATTTAAATTTATTTTAAAATTAACTTCATTATTGCGTGATATATTTAAATTAAACAATACTTTGATAATTGTAAAATGGTTTGATAAAATTTTTTGATACAATTTTTTGATAAAAGGGCAAATTTTTTATAAAAAAATATAAATAGGTGTTTTTTATTTTTGAATGAGTTCTAATAATTATAAGTATTTAATTCTCTGCAAATATATTACTAAATTCACTGATAAAAAATGTAGCGCTTAGAACACTGATATTTACATAAAAAATTTCCGTATTTGCTGTCAACATGTGTGAATGTACGTGCAACTTTTCGTTAGTCAACATGCTGTGTTAGTGGCCCTTCAATCAGAAGGTTGTGAACCCCTATTCTAAATTAAAAACATTAAAGGTGTTTTATTTTTATATAATGCTATGTTTACCTTTATTCCATTTTTCAAATTTCAATGTCTTGCAATGGCATGTCTATGTTACTTAATGCTAAACTTCTCCCTTCAAATTTGTAACTGCTGTTTGTTATATTATAGTCAGCTATTTTTTCATTTGTGTTTTTTTTTTAAATTGAAAATAAAGTATTTATTTTTGTTAAAAAATTTACTTAATAAGAATATAAGATTATTAATATTTTATAACTTAAAAAATTATTTTATTTTTAAATTTTAAGTAGTAATATATTATTAGCAATTATTAATTAAATGTTTTCTTATTTATAGGTTGGGACACAACCAAGCTATCCTAGCAGCTGCAGCTCAGTGGGTTCTTCCTATGATCCGGAAAGTTCCAAAGAAAGTGAAGAAAACTTTATCAAAAGTTTGCCGAGTGAACTTCGTGAAAGTAATTCCGCCACTCCTCTGTTGTACACCGTCAGTTTTTACAGGAAGCAAAGACAAGAAACAAAGACGCCTCCTATGAAAAGTATCGTAAGGAGAGAGCAAGTTTCTACTCCTTCTGCTGATAATCAGAAAGATTCAATTCAGGAAGAAATCAAGGTAAGTTATCAGTACAGTTTTATGGTGAATGTTTTCAAATTTGTTTGTTAGAAGAATGTAACATAAAAGTTAATTGTAAATTGTCTTTTCAACCTCAATATACAAGAATGCCCTGTGGCAGAATTTTTTTGAGCTTTCTATGACAATTCCGTCCAGTACTAGTACCTTTCTGAAAGACATTTTTAATAGCAGCAAATATATATGTTACTAATTTAAAGTAATAGAAGTGCTTTCTGTTTACAAAAAAATCCTTCATTTATACAATGGATCAGTTTATTATTTCTTTTATTTATAAATGTAAGAATTTTTTTTAAAACCTAAATATAAAAGAATGTATATTCAAATACTATTGGTTATATTCTCCTGCTCTAAAAATGTTTCATTCCACCTCCGATATGGGAGAAAGGCATTTTTTAAATATATTTCTGCAAGAAAAAAATATTTCGAAAAATTCTGCAGATTAAAAAAAAAAAAAAAAACAGCTCTTTCCAAATAAAAAATATTTCTCCAAGAACTCTAATGCTCTGCAACAATGTTGCCAGAATTCTACAACAGGACAAGACTGTTTTAAATAAATATAAGTTATGTTTCATTCTCATATTTAAATTATACTTTTTTTATTTATTTTTTTTCCTTCTCATTTGCTCTCCTTTTTGTGTAATTTCTAGTCAAGGAATTTTAGCTTCACATTTATTCTGGTATTTGCTATTTAAAGGCAAAAAGACCCTATAAGACTTTGTGACAAAGGCCTTTTATTTTTTATGGCACCGTCTACTGAGGAATAAGTGGACTGGTAAATGTCGCCTCATGTTAGGTGACATTTAAGAGCCAAATAAGATAATGATTTAAATCAGGATTAGTATTTTGTATGGAAGAAACCTATTTCTTCAAGAACACTGAAAAAGACAGGATGACACTAAGTGGAAGAGACTGGGCAAAATGGTAGAAACTAAGGAAACCAATACACGTTTAGAAGCATTATAAGAATAACTTAAATTTTAAAAAAATTAAATTCAATATAGTATCAAAGTAAAGTTTTCACATTTTCTTTTACAAAAAATAGTTGAAAATATTTAAAAGAATTATAATTCTTATAATTACTATTATTTTTTCTAAGAATTTGTGCTGTCTTGATTGTTTTGAAATTTTTCTGGGTAGAAACTAACAGTTAGTTAGAAATGAAGTAAAGCTATCAAAATAATATATAAGCTACTTACCGAAACATTTAGTTTTTGCCACTTTTTCTTACACGAAAATGCCAATCTAAAATTTTAGTTACTTTCTTGAAATTTGAATTCACGGTTATTCTTATTGAATTAACTACGCAACAGTCTTTGAAAAAATGTGCAACTAATTAAATGCAATACGTTAAACATGCATTACATTGTAATTTCTGATCAGATCACCTTATAGAGCAATAAATTGTTCTCCTGGTAAAATGACCGGTCGTGGTAGAAATAGGTATACAACAAGTATTATTCGAAGGAAACAAAATACAAAAAAAAATAAATAAATAAATAATATTAACTGTATGTAATTTTTACGAAAAGTCATGAACTCAATTGTGCAAAAATAAAAAGATGATAAGCACATTTTCGATACAAATGTTCTTAAACGGTCATTTGACCGGCTATGGTATGCTAAGTGTTAATATGCTCGCACCAGAACCTTAAAGTTTTGATTCTAGTGAACAACTTTTAATCTAAAGGTTTTCTATTTTTCTTCACAATAGATTTATCAAGAAGAGATTGTGAAACAACAAACCATTATTGGACAAACTAGTCAAGCTTTGAATTTGTGCCATGCTACAGCGGAATTCTCTGGTTCAACTGAACAAGTTGAAGGAGAAAGGCTTCTACTCATTGCAAGTGAGTTTATATGTGGTTTTGTTTTGTTTAAGTGGATGTTATTTATTTTTTTTGTAATAATTAGCAAACAAAACATTTGTAGTATCTATGTTTTGCACAGTTGAAATTTGTTTTTAATGCATGCATGCCTATCTTAAAATTTCTTTGATTGCAAAATTCAGTAGAGTGCCGATTACCTGAACCAACCCGAACTGATGCCAATCTGGATAATTGAACAACTTTTAAAAATGGCTATGTGAATGCTTTTAAGTAACTTCCTTTTACACTTTTTCCAGGCTTTGTATTGGCAATTCTATTAGTGCCTATGACAGCATATTACAAATGGCATGTTTTGAAAGTTTTTATTTTTTCTGAATTCCATTGAAATTCTGTTTTCGTATATGAAACTACTTGCCACCCACATTAAAACTGGACAAAAAGAATATGAGGATCTTTTCAATGTCACTTAGGCACAAAGGAAGCAATTTTCCACCTCTTTCTGTTATTCTAAAAATAAAAAGCATTTTCACGATTTTTTTTTCCAATAAGGTGGAAAGAAACAGATGATCCTTGAACAATTCAGATAATTGGACAATCTGGTAAATCTGCATTGGGATAATTAGTGTTCTACTGTAGTTTAAAAAAAAAAAAAGATTTAGTATAGTTTTCTATTTGTTTGACTGTTATTAATAAGTTATTTAAATTAGTTTACACAAGCTTTCCTATAACTTATCTATAATTGTTCAGTAATTTGAAAAGAAAAGTTTTTGTACTTTGACAAAACATTTTGAATGATAAATGCTAACTCAAGGTGAGACACAAAAGCTGCAGCCTTCAGACATTTAAATGTAGAAAGCTTTGGAAATAGACAACAATTCACTTGCAAAAAATATAATAAATTTGATGTTAGGTTTAATACTGGGTGGTCTCTTTTTTTCAATACTTCAGAAAATAAATCCATCATAAAACTCTTCTGGTAAGCACAGGTCTCATGACAATGAAACATCCTTGCAATCATTCATCCTTTTATTTTCTCTGATTTCTCATTTACTTTTTTGTAACACTTAGTTTGCAACATGCTGGATTTATTATGTTAAGCATAGAATAACATTTATTATTCTAATTTTAATTCAAAAATAAGCTTTAAAATAGTTTTAATGTAAGTCTGACTGTGTGCAGAGATTAAAAGCTGACTTTTTATTTTAATTTTAGCTCAAAAACGACAAGCTTTGCTAAATGAAATACAACGATTGAAAACCCTTGGAGCTGAAGGTGAAGTACCTGATGGTACTGGTACTTTAACTATATCAGACCTCCAGCTACCTTTAAAACAAGAATTTTTAGCTGCACAATTAGAAGGAAAAATAAGTAAGAATTCATAAATCAAATCATTAAATAATTTTCAGTCTTCTAATTTTAAAGCTGTATCAAGATTTCTACTAAATTGGTGTTATTGTGTGCTTTCTTTATATTTTTTGGTATATAAATGATTATTTTTACTGTTTTTATTTATTAAGTTTTTTTAAACTTTTTATAACTTTCCTTGAAGTGTTAAAAAAGTTCTACATAAACTCTGTATAATCAGTTTGTTGCTAGATTTTCCTTCCTCTTTTATTTTCTTTAGTTAAATTCTTAAAGAATATTATTATGAATTTTATGTAAATTTATTTTAAATTTTAAAACTAGTTAAAAGGGAATATAACAACCTAATATCTGAAGAGCACTTTTATTAATATTGTTATGATTAATACAAATGACTGTTATATTTAAAAGTTGTTTGCAGTAAAAAAGCTCTCCCGCGCCACAGGTCCTGGGTTTGATCCTCGGGCCGGGCAAGGTTGGCTCAGCCTTTAATTCCTTCAGTGGATCGATAAATTAGTGCTAAGTATGTTTGGGAACTAAACACTGCAGGTTCCGCATTCGGCTGACCACCTGACCGAAACATCTGCTCCTGCACCCCAGAGTCTAAGGTCAAGAAAACTGAGATGGGCGCACTAGGCCTTGACCCTCTATGGGCTGTCGTGCCACTGAGCCTAGCTTTTTCAGTAAAAAAAAAAGAAGAAAAAAATTTGTTTTACAATTAAGAATTATTGTTGTATAAAGTGTTTGGGAGATTGCTCTTAGTTAAGGAGTCTTAAAGTTTATGTATTGACAGTAAAAACTACGACTATGCCTTTATTTCTTGTTTACCACTTCCAGTTGACAAAATTTGTTATGTATCTCTTGGGTTTAAAATTTAAAAAAGTTTAATCACCGATCCGAAAAACCACTAACTGAAAGATTTTACTAGTCCATTGTCATTTTCATTGGTTCATTTACTCTAGTAGATTTTTCGTTAATAAAATGGGCTTAAATGAAACATTTCTGTACAGAAAATGCATGGAATGTCACAATTATGATGAAATATACTATTTTGTAGCAAAAGCATAGTCTGTAGCATGAAATTGAAAATCAAATTTTGCTCAAGAATTCAGGGCCCTCTTACTCTTGTCATTTTAATTTGCTGATGAAAGACAAGTTTTCTAAGGTTACTTTTTGACTCATTGTTCTTCTTTTGCAAAAACACACTGACATTGTTGTTAGTCTTTCACACACTGAGGGCTTTGGAATTAAAATGCTTAGCAAAATAAATTATCGTATAGTTAAGAACTTTTCCCATCAAACTTAATGTTTTCTTCTTCAAAAAATGTCATTTCAGATCTTCATTATATTCTACAAATTATTTATTTCTAGAATAGAAATTGCATTTTAAGGAATTATTTTTTTATGTATATGGTCTTGAATGTTTTTTAATCCTGAAAAATATATTTAGATATCACCTTGTTGAGGTATATTTTTTTTACCAATAATAAAGCTGGTTTTAAAAATTGTTTTATGTTATTAAACTTTAATGTCCATTTTGTATAGAGAAAGTATATAATACCTTTGTGCTAAATGTATGTAGTATAGTTTTATATACCTCTATTTTGGTAATGGAATAGGAGCATATTTTTAGTATTTCTTTTAAATTTTTTTATTAAGTACTACTATAATTTGGTATATTATATTTGGGCATTTGTTTTATTGAAGTAAATGTTATGTTGATTAACCCATTTTCTTCAATTAGTTACTATTAATATATGCAGTTATTATTCTTATGCAAGTGTGAATGCATGAAAGCATAATTAACTTTGGCATGATTTTTTTTTTTTAAGTACTAACTTTCAAAATTATTTTCATTCATTTCATCTATACATTTATTTTTGCACTTTAATAAACCTGGTTTGTATTTGTATTTTTTGCATGAGCATGCTTTTTTATTTTGTTTTTCATTTTAAACTAAGTATTGCATTTAAAAATTAATTTTTTTTTTTAAAAAAAAAGGATTCTTAGTTCTCTCTTTTTAGTCACATTGCTTTTGCTACATATTTTAGGACCAAACTCACTTTGCACTCATATTTTGATGTCTTGCACTTCTGGGTGTCTTGAAATTATAGGTAAATTAACTTTTAATGAATCAATACAGTTTCTAGTTTAGCAATGTTGGTTTGCCATGGTCTCTTTCCTGACTTTTTTTGCTGACAGAAATACTTAAACTCTTTATTACTCTCTGCATTTATAGAGTTATTTGAAGATTCACAATCTTCATTAGTACTAGATTCCATGATTTTAGCTATTAAAATTGTCACTGATTCACAAGCCGTCAGAGAGTTATCTCAGTGCGATTACTGCATCAAGTCAGTATCTGGCTCCGTTCTGAAATGCTGTCAGTATTCTCCTAACTATTAGACTACCTTTTTTTATAAGCCATTAACGTTAGTCTTAATAAACTTTTTTTCCAAGCAGACTTGGAATGTTGGTATTTCAGGAAACTACTATTAGAGGACGCTCTATATACAGGGGTGAGAGTTTTTTGCTTTAGTCTCTCTAATTTCAGCTTTTCCTCTTTTTGTGGAAATTTAGTCGTTGAAATAAAATTATTATATTTATTTTCGATTTTCAAAGATAAGCAGAAAATGCAAACTACGTCGCTGCCAACCCTTCCCATTTTCTCTTATTTTAGCTGTTTTCTCTGCTTTTGTATAGCAGAAAATAAGATTTTTCTGACAGATAGCTTGTATTTTCGTAAAGCTTTTAGAAATCTTAAGTCCTGAATCTGCTAATATCTTGATTCTTATTCACGCGATTTTCATATCAAACATATATTTTCGTATTTACCCGAATTCAAAGTTGTGCATTGCAATTCTTATTCATGTAATTCAAATATCGTATATTGCGCTTCTTATTTACAAGATTTTGAAATTCAATATCGCAATTTGTATTCACGCGTTTTTAAGTCTTTGTAGTGATTCTTATTCAGCGAATTTAACATAAAGCATCGACTTTCGTATTTACCTAATTTAAAAGTTGCATATTGCGATTCTTATTTACAAGATAAATATATATGTATATATATAATACTCATTCTTGGATTTTCTCTTTTTTACTTTCTGACTACTCTCGTCCCTGTATATACCAGATTTTTTTTTACATTGTTATAGGAATGGATAGGGGACAAATATTAAAAGACGTTAAAGTAGGAAATAGTTATTCATGGAAGAGGTATCATAGTTCTTTCCTTATGTCTTTCTGCATTATTTAGTATTTTCTGGAATTTTTTTTAAAAGGAAGGAGACATCCTGGTGTTTGCCTTTATTGTATTAAATTAATAGAGGTGTTTTAAATACATTGCTAAAGCTAGTACTTTTAACTGAAATTGGTTACTAAGCTTGGTATTGGACTTTAATAATTGCACTCAATTCTTTATTATTTTACAAAATAGATTGAATTTGATTGTTTCCATAACAGTTATTGCTTATGATTTTTAATACATTGCTAAAACTAATAAATCTGATTGTTTCCATAATAGTTGTTGCTTATGGTTTCTAATACATTACTAAAACTAATAATCTTAACTAAAAATGGTTCTTAAATGGGAAATTCTGCTTGCTTTCCTAATTGCACTTAATTCATTGTAAGTTTATGAAGTTGGAGTGAATGAGTCTGCTCTCATAAAGAGTTGTTGCTTATGGTTTTGGGAAAATTGCTACTTTATATTTCTATCTTATTTCTACTTTATCACTATACTTGTTGGGTAATGTTTAAAAAATTCTAAAATGTTTTGATAATTTTTACAGATTCCATCTACATTATATATATTTTAAAAATATTCTCTTGTGAAAGAAAATAGAAATTTGTAAATTTCGTGTAGTGGATTTCTGTTATGACATTTGTGATGAATGTATTTTCAATAATTATGATCTTATTGTTTTAACCTGACTATAAATGTAACTCAATTTCTTGAAAATAATTCCTATTATCAGTATTTGATGATTGTTAACATTAGGTATAGCATGCAAATCAATTGTTTTTAAGTATGATACATTTAAATTTGTTTAACTCTTTAAAAATAAAAATAATTGGTGTTTGAACAAGAGCTTCTCATTGTTTAACTTGGCTGTTCTTACCCTTGTGTCTTAATCTTTTTCTTGATTTGCTTTTTTAATGGTAAGCAAAAAATTGTAGCTATGATAAAAAAAAAAAACATATATATATATATATATATATATATATATATATGTAAATGTCTTTGGATGCAATAAGTTTTGTATTTGTACACATATTATATACACATATAATTTATACACATAATTGGTGTATACTTCAAAGCTTATTTGAAGTAATTTCTACCTATTATGGCAATAGGAAAATGTAGAAAATCACATGTAATTGCAATTATTGTCTTTATGGAAAAATATTTATTGCCCTCTGATGTGCATAATTTATTGCCCTCTAATATGCTCAAATATTACATGCACAAACTTTTTCAATGAAGGTCCACTTGCACAGCAGGTTGATCAATGATGGGCCGTACGCATGCCTAGTTATGTTGGCAAATATAATTTTTACTTGTACATCTTTAGTCAAATATGAAAATTTTTGGTATACATTAGTGTTCTAAGAACTAAATTTTTTTTTGTCAGTAAACTTTGATGTATTTTCAGAAAAGAAAATACTTTCAACTATTAAAATTTATTCAAAAATGAAAAGGCATGCTTTTTAATTTTTTTCTCTTTTTATAAATAGTTAATTTATTAAAATATATATACATACACACGGAGCAACCACTCTGTTCAACATTAAAATAGTCGTTCTTAGAGGTTACCTACATTAACTTCAAAATTTTTATCAAAGGTGCAAGATTTTTCGCAAATGTTTTTTATTTTAGTCATTGTCATTTTCTTGGTGCATGAATGCCCCTTCTGTTGACATCATGAAAAGACGGATCTATGAGTAAAATTTAGTGTCTATAAAAATAATCCCAACTGATATAATTAAGTGTAAAAACAAATTTACCAATTATGAACAATAAAACTATTTTAAATAAATAAACAATTATGTTTTTTGCTTAAGTTAGTATTTAATATTATATCATAAAAATTTGTTAGCTTTTTTAAAGAGGTTTCGCCCTTTAACTCCGATATTTTTAACACGCTCTTATGAAGCGCAAAATTTGAGTTTAGGAGTGTTTAATTTCTGATTTATATTTACCAAATTGATTATCTAATTTTCTCTTTTATATATTGAGATTTGAAGACAATAGAGCTTACTTTTTTGATAATTTTACTTTCGATTGAGTTTAATTTCTATTAATTTTGATATTTTAATAAAAAATTTTGGAATATTTATAATAAAGGGCCGTGTCTTTTTTTATTTGCTTCTTTTTAGCAAATTTGTTTTTATTTTTTAAAATTTATATTTAAAAAAAAAAAAGGAAAAAATATTTATCACCAAAGAAACAATCCTATCCAGTTGTCATGTTTTGCGTATTTTATTTTGAGAAATATTTTATTTAGTTGACTTAATAAGATTTTAATTACTTTTGAATCCATAATGCATATCTATTTATTGTTTCTTTTGTGCGGTGATTTAATAATTTTAAAAAGATTTATTTTTATGAACTAACATCTGTGATGCAAACTATCTGTATAGCAGAGATACGAATAAATTTATTAATAACTAAATTTTAGCATTTATTGCTATCAAATCTGGAAGGTCAGGTTTATTTTTGATTTATAGAAATTAGGTTTATTTTTATTTTATTTATTTGCATAACATATTATTAGCAAGTTAATTTTTAATAATAAGTTAATGATTCATTAATTGTGAGATTTTTTTTTATAATTTTATCCAATCAGTATTTTTAAATATATGTAGAAAAGTAGCATGTTATTTTAATTTTAATAAAGACTTGAGATATGCCCTTTTTTTTCTTTAAAAATTTCACTCTTGTTCATTTTTCATCTTTCGCATCATGCAGATGCATTGTATAGAATTAAATTTAATAAGAATTTTTTTTATCAGAAGTTTGTGCTTCTGACTTCTAAATTGCAGGATTAAAACAAAAATTATAGTTTTCTGTGTCGACTAAGTAACATAAAATGTTGTTATTTTTTTTAAATAATCTTTCTCTGATATATTTCTTTTATCTTTACTAACATTTTTTGTCTGCATTGTGATGTTATATTTTTTAATTGAAATAAAATATACAATATAATGTATAAATGACTAATATTCACCGTATATTTCGACTGTATATATAAACACTGTCAGTACATACTGCGGTTGACTGAAATTTTTTAAAAATATGTCTGAAAAAGACAGGGAATTTTTTTCGATTTTAGTAGCAACTGTGTAAATAAATCTATTGATTGGATTGCAATACAAATTATCGTAATTTCATAGGTAATGATAAGATAAAATTGCATATCTCCTAAAAGTTTTCACTAACTCAGAATTTGTTAATGACACTCGGTTATTGAAATGATTGCCGACTAAGTTCTGAAACTATAATTTTTGGTTAACGATCTTTGAAAGTTTCTTCCTTTTTCAGTTTATTTGCACAAAGGAAGTAATAACAACTCATTGCAAGCTCTGAGCCCAGTGCATAAATAAAAATTTCATAGCAAAATTATCACATTCTGAAATTTTGATACACTGTATTAGCTTTCTGTTACAAATCATGGCTAGAATAATTTTCTGTTACTTTTTTTTTGTTTTATATTTTTGTTAAACTTTAAAATAGTTTAAGGACCAAGTTAACTAGTCTTTGTAAGACACTTAGCCTGTGGGGTATATTTTGTGCATCATTGACTATTATACAATGTTCTTAAGTGTGAATTACTTTTCCCTCGTTAAATAATTTTTGGTATGACCTTACTGATTTTATAAAAAAAACTTGCTGTACCTATTGACTTTGAAGTCCTTGTCAAAGAAAGTATGGAACTTATTTTCAGAATTTTGAACCGACAGTTCAATTTCAAATATTTTATGCCTTTTTTTCAATATCTTTTACTTTTGTAGATGATGCAGTTCACTGGTTCTTGTGCTTGATACGTCATGGTGCGCAGGTGATTGTCACTCAAATGATGTCAACAGATGAGAAAGTCACCAATGGTGCCCTATGCTTTACTAATCACATTAAGCTGCAAAATTTGCCACCTGATTTTTCGATCGTGTTTGAAGTCTACGCGTTGGTAAGCTATTGTTATTTTGTTGGTCATTGTCATATAAAATGTATTTTTCTTTTAACTGTTTTTCCTTTTTTTTCCCATTCTGTAGCAAACAAAAAAGGAAAGTCTTCCACATGATAAGAAATATCACATTAAACGAGTAAGTTTTTCGGTTTTATTTATTTTGTTATTGTTGCATTTTTAAATTGTAGTTATTTCATTAATTTTATTCGTAGTTTATTAAGCAGTTTATTATAAACACATCTGTTAAACCAAACATAGCCACCTATTTTTTTAAAAAATTAGCTTGTTGTCCTTTTGGTTTGAAAACTACAATTCTTCATGCATGCTTAACCTATATTCTCCACCTTTTTGACAGTCTTAAATGCTTGTGATAGATAGGAAAAGAGTTGTTTTCACTTTTGTGGCTTATAGGGAGAATCTATGGACAGAAATATATGTCTAAATTTGCCCTTGAATTTATTTAATGGTTTCTCTTTCTTCATTAAAAAGAAACTGCTGTAAATCATTCTATTTTTCTAATCCCATTATTGAATGTATGTACTAAAACAAAACATGATATTTAATTTCAAATTAAGTTTTTAATTTCTTATAAGCATGATAATAATTTAATTTTACAGTTTACTGTCCCAAAGTTATCTTATTGAATCACTGGTGATAATTTTGATAGGTGGAGCACACCCACCTATCAAAGTAATCTACACGATTTTGCTTTCGTTAACTCTTTATTTTATAATTTTTAATCAACCCCTGCTGCCATATTTACATTGCGCAAGACCAAAAAGCAAACAACCCCGAATAACTTTTGATCTAAGGATGGGATCTTCATATTCTAGGCCTCAATCTTCAATTTAAGGAGATGACCTCAAATATGCTAATTAATTAGTGCAGGCGATATTTTAAGTTACAAAATCAGACACCAAAACGTACTTTCTTTGAATAAACATATCTTTTTTTCCGACGGATTGGGATTTCTGACCCCCAAAATAAAGGGGGTATGGGAATATGATATGCATCTGGAATAATACATATCACATAGCCACCAACTCTACTGGATTTTCCAGTAGACTACTTGATTTTGTCAGTTTCTACTGGTTTAATAGAAAATTCTCCTGGTTTTTTAACATTTTTGAAAATTCCCTAAAATTGAGTAAGTTTCCTAAAAAAATCTCTATTGAATGAAATAAAAAATTTTTACAGATTATTGCTAGAATATTTAAATAAGTATTACTACTAAATAAGGAAGCATTCGTCATTTATAGAAATCAGTTAAAAACTTTTTTTTTGTTCTAAAATGTTCAATTTATTTTTATTCAGTTCAGTGTTCAATTTATCTCTCTTAAATTAATTTAAAAAAATCATATAACTATCTTTGATGCCTATTAATATTCGAAATTATGAGTAAACATAACATTTCAAGTATGTTTAATGTCAATCATAACTTGGAAATATTGCATTCTTTCCATTTTGATGACTGTAAAAATCCCTAAAATTCCCCATGTGTAAGATATTTAGTACATTGCGCAACAATCATCATGAAATTTATACATTATTTCGTAAAATCTACTGGATTTTTTTCCTATCCATGTCGGCAGCTATGATATCAAACCTGGGTAATATATGTATGCATAGTTAAATCAGGAGAGCGGTCCAAAGTTTGGACCCCTTGATATTTATTCATTTAATTTATTAAAACGAAGAATTAACGGAAATTTTTAATTTTAAGAATTTTTACTTAAGGGACAATCCACTAATTACATAAAATTTTTGTATATTTTTATTGTACTTTATAACTTTTTTTTTTACATATTACTTTCTATTGTATTATTACTTTTGAAATTTTCAATACTCAATTTTATGAGGAAAAAAAACTCAATTATATTAAGTGGGAAGATTTAAAAAAAGTATGAAGTGAAGGGCTTTCACTATTTTAAGTGCAGCAGAAAACTTAAATTCTTCTCTTAATGATTTGATTTAAAAACAATTAAAATAAAAAATTCTGTTCTCAGATTTGATAAATATTATGAATGTAAGGACCATCGAGATGCTTACTTCTGACAAAACTGTTTAGTTTTTATAAACATTATATTTACATTTGAAAATTATTTAATTTTTTTAAATCTTTATAAATGCGATATGATCAATAATAATAATCTTTTTAATGTTTTGTTGAATATGCTTTTATAAATAACTATTATTAAGATCTAAAAAATACACTATAACATTTTTAAATAATGGTTAAATTAATTATAATTTTAAATTTAATTTTTTATACATAATTAAGTAAAGTAATTATTAATTTAAAAAATAGAACGAACCACTTAATATTAAATTTATTTAAAATTGTGCATAAATTGTTTTTATGGTGGCTAATATAATCAAGAAAATGTTTTTTTGTCAGAAACTAGTTATTTTATCATAATCATGTAAAGTCTTAAGAAATTATTTTGTTAATAGATATATGAAGAACTTTCAAAACAGGGCAAAAAAACTTTTTATTAGTGCACCGATCCTAATTATGATGTTTTTTAAAATGCTTAAAAATATTATTTGAGTTCTTATTTTTTTGTTAAAAAATTTGATTACGCACCCTGATGGGGTTATCTTTGAATAAATGAATTTTATAATTGCTTGCAAAGTTTTTTTAATTCGCTTTAAAAGCTCTCGAGATATGGCTAAATATGCAAAATATAAATTTAACATTATAGGGTCCAAACTTTTGACCGCTCTCTTGACAAAACTATGGGGAGTCTATTTCCCAGATTGCGGCTACCACCTATATTTTTGGAGTCAGAAATCCGAATCTGTTGGGGGGGAAAAAAGGTATATTTATTCAGAAAAAGTTTTGTTTCTGATTTTTTAACTTAAAATATCATCTGCACTAATTAATTAGCATATTTTAGGTCACCCCTTTAAATAATTAAAATTGAGTTTTAGAGCGTGAGGATTCGATTATTAGATCTAAAGTTATTCAGGATGGTCGGGTTTTTTGTTTCTGCACTATGTAACCATGCAAGACATGTGTCTAGTCTGATTATCTAGTGTTCCAAAAAAAAAATTTTGGATGAAAAAAATTTTTCAGAGTAATTTCACTCCATTTAATTTTAAGGACTAAAATTTAAAATAAACTGAACTTCAAAATTATCATTATATTTGAAATTACCTTAATTGTGTAACTCTTGTTATATTATAACTTTATTAGTTAGGCGCAGCTAGAATTATTAAATATTTAATCAAAAGGAAGGTAATATAATTTCTATTTTTTTTACATTTACATTAGCAGATTACATAGTATTAATAAAATGAATTAAATTTTTTAAATATTTTTTTCTCCCAATTTTCAAACATGTTTGAAATTTGTTATAACTGTTACATTATTGTTGCCATAAAATGGTGTCCTTCTTGAGGCAATCTGAAAATGATACTCAAGTGTGCATTCCAAATCAAACTTCTTTTTTTATTTTATTTTATTTTAAAATCCCTTTTAGAAGTAGGTATAGTTATTTGTACTGTTGGAGCTGTCTTCAACAGCATAAAAGAAATAATAATTTTATCAAAAAATTTATGAAAAGCATTTTTACTCCTAATATTAAACATTATGCCATCTAATCCAAAAATTTACACACTGAATCTGACAAAATTGCTATTCAAAACAGATTTTTTTCACACAGATTTTCTTTTAATACCATATTAGAATAATCAATTTCTAGAAAATCTAAAATTCAGAAATTTACATATTAGGAGATTAATTATTTGTGTTATGATTGGTTATAATTTTTGCACTAACGTCTTAAAAAAAATATTTATTTAGGATAAAAGCACACTGCGATTGGCTTCAAAGGGTAAAAAATCTGATGGCAAACTTTTGCTACCAGGTGAGTTATATTATCTTTACTATTTTTACGTAATTACTTCTTATTTTATCATACTTATTCTCTTATGCATTACAGAGGTTATTTGATAGTTGAACAAATTCACTATTTTTATACCCTTAAATATGGGTAAATTTACTACTGTTTAGCAGTACCATCATAAATTCTACTTCAGGTAAAACGGTAGTTTCACAAAATACTTTTTATAAAGCAAGTTCTCGGGAAAACCCCTTTCTGATTGCAATTTATGGAAAAGATGAGCTTTTCCACCAGCTGTCTTTAACAGAAAGGTAGCATGTGTATTGGTCAGATAGTGCAATGTAGTAAGCCTAACAGGTCGCTTACGCCATATCAAAACAAACTTTTTTTTCCGAGTTTTTTTAAATGAAACTAGGAGGCTTTCCCTCTATAAATTGTACAGAAAGTCGAAATTCAAACATCATTCGAACATCATCTTGAACACTATTGTAAATTTATTCTAACAGACCTTTATTTTTTGCGAAACTTTTTTTTCTCTGTAAAACTTTTTTTCTCTATGACCTAGTCGGAAATGTTCTCATAATGAAAATAACTTTTAGTGTTAGTACTGTTAAATGCATGTTTTTTATTAAATTCAAGTTAAAATTTAACTAAGGACAATGATTTTTAAATTTGGATAAAATTTTAAGGCCAAAATTTTACAATAGCAAAATTAGTTTTGAATATATATGCGGAAAAATATATGGAAATTTACCAGTCATAAATGATTTTTATTTGTAGTGACAATTTTTTGAAAATATTGTTTTACTTAACCATATTTTTGTGCTGATTTTTTAATGTAATTTTTAACTTTCCATGTCTAAATTTTCACAAAATAGGCACCTCTAAACTAAAACACTGTTAAATTTTTTTATGACATTTAATCTGTAAAGTATGAAGTCCTATTTAGCAATTTAAAAATTTATATTTGTATTTAAAGGTTGCACTTAATTAATCACTCTGCACTGAAATTGCATTTTAACAAATCACTGAGTTTTTTTTCCCGGATAGAATAAAGCTTTTTAAAATTTACTTTAGTTTAATTACTCTTGAAACTTAAAATATTTTTTCATATTAAAATTATTTTCTTTCATCCTTACATTGATTGCCGAAAAAGCAATTTTTTTATTTGTGTTTTTGCTTTTGAAATGCTTTTCATTTTAAAATTTTTATTTGTATATATAAAGTGTCAAAAACAGATTCCAATCACCAAGAAATAATTTAAGTCAATGTATACTTGTCTTTTTTTTATTATTAATTTTATTTTGACATTTTTTTTAATGCTATTTTTTCTTGTATACCTCCTTTGTGACATGTGACGCTCAAGTTGAATCACTGTATTCCGAAGCTAAAATTCTCTTATTTGTTTTAATCTACACTTTGAATTAGCAATAATAATAATTGGAACTATCGATAAAATTAAAAGATTGTGCTCATTGGAAAATTAACAGATTTTTTAACCGTTCCAATGATTAAGCATTTTATAATGAAAAGGGATGGAATTTAATATTTAACTTTTTTTCTCTCCCTTTTTTAGCTATTAGCAGTCCTGGTGGTCCTAATGCTGTGAGATCTTCTAGTTTTGGGGTGATAGGCTTTACCAGATTTAGCATTCAGAACTGTAACAAAAAGTGTTTCACTTTGGACAAAGTAAGTAAATGAACTGAAGTGGTCAAAATATAAATATTAGAGTGGTTAAAATATATATATATTATCAAAATATAAATATAAATATTTTTTTCAAATATAGTAGCATTAATATTTTTAAAATTGTTATTTATGTATTGTTTTTTCATTATATATACTTGAAAGTATATTAAAACAAAGCTTTTAAAATCTGAGTGAACCATATTCTTTCGAAGTTCATTTGTATTTTTTCAAATACTTTTATTTAAACATTACGAAAATATAGATAAGGAAGCAGAAATAAATTTCCTTACCCCAGTATGTGTGCAGATTTACTGGAATAAATAAGTTTAGAAGACATAACATTCAAATTTACATATTGACATTAATAAGTTTTTAAGTGACATAATTTAAAGATTTAAACCTGAATATTTTAAAGTTGAATACAGGGTAAAGTTGAAATGAGGGTTTCCATAAAGTCAATTAAACTAGAGTCAAAAAAGGATTTTTTAAAGTTGAAAAGATCTGCAACAAACTTAAGCAATCTTAAAATTCATGGAAATGATGAGTATCTAATAAGGTTCAACTTAAATAAGCATAATATATATAACCATTATTCATTTCAAAGATTCTATTGCATGCTGATTGCATTTTATATTAAAATTAGAGATTTATTAAAATTAAAATGTTATTTTGTTTAAAATACTCTTATAATAGTTTCTTATTTTAAAAAAGAAAGTATAACTGCCTTTACTGTTTAATAATACTGTTCACTAGGCTGGCAATAATAGTTTTTAAAAGTTAAGATTTCTATAAAAACTAATTATGATAATTATTGTAAGAAGAAAGATAGAGGCTTTATGACTGTTCTATTAATAAACTTTATTGCATTTAGTCTCTTAAATTTTTTAGAGTCTTGTGAAAAATTTGTTTTGTTCCCATAATTTACATGTGTCCTAAAGTTAAATGTTAGCTTGATTGCACTTTGTTTTGTACAAGAGATAATATTTGATATTTACTATCAAAAAGTAATTTTCTTTGCTTGTTAAATAAAAACTATGTATTTCTGATGAAATGTTGGTTTGAAATTTTCATTCCTCCAAAGAAGTAAGATAACTTTGTTTTTCAAATTAATAAATATCATATTTAATAATTTTTCTTTCCAGGTACCTTTTTCATCACCTCTAGAGGGAATTTTGAGAGTCAGGCTTCATCTGCATGCTGAGCATAAAGTGATGGAGAAAGGATTTTTGGTATGCTTCATTTATCATTATTATTGTTTTGTACCTCTTGGCCAACTTTTATATATTGCTGCAAAAATTGTTTATGACCTTAGAATAAAGATGGTGAGCTTTTTTTGATAAGTGTACCAGTTGAATTATGATATGTTATTTTGGGTGCATAGTATGCCACTTGTTAGTTTTTTTTCCTTTCAAATATCAAAATCATTGTACTTTCTTTTAAACTACAGAATTACATTGCATAACTTTATTTGCTGTTAAGTTATGAACTTGCTTCAAACTCAAATTTGAAAAAACAGTATTTTAAAAGTTTTTGTTTAATTTTTAGCTAAGGTAAAATATCCTAAAGCAGGCACTCTTTGATAAGCAATGAAATGAAATCAAGGTAATTAATGCTAGATATTTGTTCATTTTATGGATCTCTTCTACAAAATTGTCCTCTGTTTTGGAGAGGGTATTTTAGTCAGCTTTGCATCTTAGATAATAAGCATTCTAAGTTCTACTTTTTTCTGAATCTGTCCTATGATGACTGTTAGCATTGGAGGTGGCTTTTTTAATATTTTCAGTGAATGCTAGTGAATAAAAGAAATGTATTATCTAATTCTCGCATACCATTGACTCATCGTCTGATCTAAGAGTTACAAAAGTTTGAAAAACTCTATGAACTAGGCCCAATGAGCCGATAAAATATGACATGGAAAGTAATCCAATTGCTTTTTTCCCAACAATTTATATTTCTAATATTTATCTATCTAATTTATATTTCAAATAAAAGCCACACTGAAAACAAAATTCTTTTACTTGTTTTTCATAGTTTGTAAAAATTAATCAAAACTCAAATTAACCTGTAAATTGAAGTATAAGTGCTGGCAATTAGGATTTTTCATCATAATAATAATTTTTATCACTTAATAATTTTTGTGAAACTAAAAATTAAAACTGGATATTCTCTCTCTATTTTTTTTATTTTTATCTAAGTTTTTCTTATTTATATTGATAGTTTTACTTTTATATAATAACTAAATTCAAGCTTTGTTTCCATTTTTTTAAGGTAATTTGAGTGTTTTTAAGATGCCCTATTTTCTATCCTACTGATCAATGATGTATAATATAAATGTCCATTTCTTCTTATTAAGAGTTAAAAATATCTAAATCTGTCAAAAGTATACTATTTTACCTAGAGTTCTTCTTAGATGTAAGAAGTTAATGTATGTTTTTTTTTTAAACTGTATGTGTGTTAAGTACTTTCATTTACTGTAACCCACTCTTCATTTTTAACAAACATTTTTCTAATTGTATACTTTCTGGATTTTTGCATGCTTTGTTGCGCTTATGTATTTTAACTGTATGGTCAATTTTTTTAAAGGTTTTTGTAAAAATTTTAACTGGAAGACTTGATAACCCAGATTAGAGCTTTGAATATTTTCTCAATCTAATTTATTTATTATGCACACAATGTTATGTGTAAGTAAATTGAAAAATATTTAGATTAATATGTTACCATCAATGAATAAAATCAGGCATTTTATAGAATGTCTAAAATCGGTAAGCAAAGTATGAAATTATTAATACTTCACACATTACTTAGGCATTCTATATAATGACTACACAAAGTGTGGCCTTTTTAGGCAAAGTCAGAAATTCTCATATTTTGTACTTTGCCTGCATATTCTATAATATGCCAGAATGTCATGCATTGAGGGTAACATATGTACTGTCATTTTGACATCCTATAAAATGCCAGTTGCCAGCATCTCATACATTGATGGGTTATTGATTTGTTCGATATATTTGTATTTATTGCTCCTGGCAACACTTTCATTATGGTATACTCTTTGTTATGTTAGCAGCACTGTTTGATCAATTAATCAATTGGCATTTCAGCATTGCTCATGTGTAACGTGTGTACTTCTTATGTTTGTAACTATTAAATGTAAAAAGTTTGGCAATCTGTTAATCTCAACATGGTAACATAGATATTATTTATTTATCATTTTTAAAGACTGTTTGACATTCCATAGAATGATGGCATTTCATAGAATGATGGCATTTCATACAATGATGGCATTTCATACAATGATGGTAACATGTATATTATTATTTTGATAGACTATGTTTGAAGACGTCAGTGGTTTTGGTGCTTGGCACAGAAGATGGTGCGCATTAAATTCACAGCATCTTACTTATTGGAAATATCCAGATGATGAATGCAAAAAAGTAAGACATCTTATGAAATTATTATCTTGAAAATGGTATATAAAAAATGTAGTTATGTTTCTAATAATATAGATATTATATGTTCGGTGGTTTTTAGTTGATAGTTGTAAAATTAGTGTTAATATTTTTTTAACCAACATTTTCAAACTAAAAATTATGATTACTTTTACTATTAGTTATGTAAGATTTTGTAATTTGTGCAAGGTGAGATAGGAAAAAAAAAGTTTTATACCTTCTGGGTAACAATATTTAAAAAAAAAATCTTAGTGTAAACATCTTTGATATTAGGTTATACTTTTCATTCTTTTACTGGAATGCTTTATTTAGTTAGTTTTATCCCAATAATTTAGATTTATTTGGATTTCATTTATATATCCATAATGTGATTTTTCCACCAAAATTGAAATTTTCTTCTGATATCAAACATTCTGCTAACAAAAGCACTTTCACCTTAATCGGTAGCTGTGTATAGATGGTTATGTTCGCTGGTTTTCTGTTTTAATAAGCGTGCTGGAAGGAAGTTTAAGGGTAATTGTCTTAGAATAATGCTTTTTTGCTAAAACCTGTAAAATAACCAATCTGAAAATTCAAGATAACCATTACGAAGTTAATATCTATTCAACGTTTTTACAATTAATTCAACCCCAATCTATTTCCGCCCATCGTCAATCTGTAGCGTATGAAAACTCCATTAAATTTACATAATTCAAAAATTTTGACCATTGTCAAAAACAATGCCAAATTTTTTTTTTTTGACATGACGGTTAAAACTAGATAAACCCTGCCTAATTATGATATGTTTTGTTGAATAATTTGGCTACGTACCCTGATAGACACTGAGACAAAAAGAAAAATTTTGACTGAAGACTTATATATGACGGAGGTTTGCTCAAAAGTATTACCTAAAAACTTGATATACGACCAAAAAATGAACAGGAAAACTTTTGCCGTCATATCAGGAAAAACCCTGAAACTGAATGACAGTTCATGTACATGAAGACCACATATATCTAGGGGGGAAGCTCGAATGAGCAAATTTAAATTGAAAGTCATGTTCGTTTTTTTCTCTCGCTGTTAATGGTATCGTCATGTTAGAATGGGTACCTCAAAACCAAACTGTAAACCAGCACATAGGTCCTAAGAAAACTTAGAGAAGGAATGAGGAAGTAAAGGCCAAATTTATGGAGCAACAACTTGCAGATTTTGCATCAAGACAATGTCCTGGACGCAATGCACTCTCTGTAAAACAGTTCCAGACGAAAAAACGCTTTACTGTGCTGGAGCATCCATCATACTCACCAGATCTTGCACCATGTGACTTCTACCTGTTTCGAAGAGTGAAAAGTGCATTGAAAGAACCACATTTTCAGTCTGTAGAAAGGGTGAGGGCAAATTTGGCAAACTTACCGAAGATAGTGGCACCTAATGTCTGGCAGCATTGCTTTGAGCAATGGAAAACTCGTATGCAGCGCTGTACTGATAGAAAAGGGAACTAAAAGGAATTTGTAAAATGTTTTCAATGAAGATAATTTTTAAGACCAATCTGGTTATTTTATTGTCACACCTCATACTTTTTTTATATTTACCTCATGGACTTTAATTTTTTATGTAGAAAAAAAATCACAATTTAAATTTAATTGCTATGAATACCATTCTACTTTGTTTTACAATCATTTGTTCTTGGATTCAATTGTAATGTTAATTTTTTTATCAGTGTTATGCACTTTCATTCTTTTTTACCCAGTCATTTATTTGTGATTTGATAATTTGTTGTGGCAATCATTCTCAATTTTTCCTCTAGGAACCCATAGGATCTATCGACTTGAAACAGTGTGTCACTGGTTATGTTAAACCAGTGTCCAGGGATATTTGTGCAAGGCCTCATACCTTTCAACTTGTCACTATAAGACCTCAAGAAAAAGGAGATAAAAATACTCTTATATCTTACTGTGCCAACACTGTAACAACCACCAAGTAAGATAATTTTCTTTCTGTGTGTACTTCTGTTATAGTTTTTTTTCTTTCCTTAAAATTAGCACCCACTTAGGAAAAAGTTGGTTGAGCAGGAACAAAGTACCATTACTTGTAAGTCTTTTAAATTGTATTTAAAATTGTTATTTGTATTAAAATATGTAGAGTAGTCAGTATCTGGAGGATATAGTCGTTACTGCAATGGGGGGAAAAGTTTGGATTTCTTAATGTTAGTTCATTTATTTCACTTTTTGCATAGTTTGCCTTATCTCAAAAATTACTAAAGTGAATCATTTATTTATTTTATAACCGGAGTTGAACAACCGACCCAATTCTGAGTTTACGACTATTAGTGGTCAACTCCGTATCCTTGTGATTTTGAACTCATCGATCAAGTATTGTGAGAAATTTGCCTCGGTGAAGGACTTTTTGATGGAACTAACCTGCATTTGTGTTACATAGAACAGAAAACACACCAAGTTTACCCTGGTGGAAAGGGGACTTTTACCCATGATCTGTCTGCCACTGAGGATATTTTATGTCAGAACTGTGGTCAGTGCTAGCTGGATGTGGAATTCATATCGACCAGCAATCGCTTACATTCAAACTCAGGTCACCTCATTGGAAGACGAGCGCTCTATATCCTCTGAGCCAAGACTTGAAATTTTTTTTGCATGGGATAATGAGAATCACTAAACTTTTTCGTATTTTATTTCACCAAAAACATTGTAACATTGAAAACATGAGCCCTTTTCTTGTAGGAATCTTTATATTTTGTCTTTTTCAGGCACCTACTTGCTGCTGATACTAAAGAAGAAAGAGTTCTTTGGTGTGATAAATTGAATGAAGCCCTATCAAATGTCAGGAAATGGGATCCACATGCTTTACGTCCAAAAGAGACCAATCTTTAAGATTTTTTACTTTGTATGTTCGTGAGTGCAATTGATGTTTTGTTTTTGCCATCAAACTAATGCTTATTTTATAACTGTTAGATTATATTGTATATAGAATGCAGCTTTTATATTAAAAAAGGCTACTTTTATGTAGTTTGCTGAAAAAAATGAATTATTCTTAAATATTTGTGTATATAATGTATATCTATAATTGAATATTATGATACTTAGTATTGTAATCAATCACTGTGGTCTTAAGCCAATCAAATGTTTTAATCATAAAGTGTATTTTTACAATAAAACTTTTATATCCTAATTTTGTCTTTATCAAATTGAGTTTTCATTTTTTTACGTAAAATTCCACTAATAAACATTATTTTTCCTTTCTAGTGTTATGTTATTTTAATCAAAAGGTTAAGAAAACTATAAGATGATACAGTAGATCTTTATAACTAGGGCCCTATAAATTATGCGGAGGGTGCGGAAACCCGCATAATCGCAGCATATCTGTATAATTTTTATTTTTCAGCAAAATGTATTCGTTTACCAGATAAATTTCTCCTTAAGGGTTTTTTTTTTCAATTGAAATATATCTTTTTCAATTCCAAGAATCTTTTTGGTCAGGTGGTCAGATCTTTCCAAGAATCTCCCAGAGGNTCTCCCCCCCCCCGGCACATAGCTTCTTATCCAGGGCTCCCACGGCCCTTAAAAACTGCTTAATTTTTATTCTGGAAAATAAGGGCCCTTAAAAGTACTTAATTTTGGTTCAAGGTTTGTAAAAGTCCTTAATTTTTTAGCATCACTATGGTTGATAGGAAAAATTTTTCATATCAATTTTTTCAATTTCAATGAAATAATTGAAAACGGAACGCAGATTGGTTTCATATGTTAACTTTTACAATCTGAATGCTGTAAACTTTTTTAAAAATCTGAAAATGTTTTTAAAAAAACCCAACCCCGGATTGCAAAAATTGTCTGGTAGTTATTAGGCGAACCCTGTTAATATAATTATATTAGTTCTTACATTATAATAAAATTGTGTTTTATGATTTTTTTTATTTATAGATTTTTTTAGAACAGTAAATAATTTTCACTATCACTGAAGGCATACTCGATGATAAACAATCATACTATTTTTAAAGTCCTTAATTTTTTTAACAAGTACTTAATTTTTTCAAAAAAAGTCCTTAATTTTTGTTTTGTTGAAAGAGTGGGAACCCTGTTATCAGTCGCCATCATCTTCAATAGGAAGCTGGTTGAACAGCTTTCGCGATGTATAGACAATAGAGGTCATCTCTATGGTATAGACCACAAAGCTAGAAAGTTGGGGAAGAATGACCCTCCCCCAAACTCCAGTCCCACCTCTTTTCTTTGTAGTTCCTGGAACTCCACAAAATATTGCTTGAGGGCCATGCATTCTGCTTTATTCATTCTTCGAGTATCTGCTCGTTGCATGCGAGTCTTCATTTATTGATTTGAAATTAGTTTAACTCATTTCCACACAAATAGTCACTGTAAACATGTCTCGATCTAAAATTTAAAAAAATGCCATCCATATTTCTGCACAGGATATGTGTAAGCAATATCAGAGTATTTTTCACGCTTCGGATGGAATAATGTTCTGTACCACGTGTAATATTGCCGTGGATCACACAAGAAAGTGCGTTGTCGATAAGCATTTGGATAGTAATCGTCATATAACAAATAAAAAAAAAAAAAACAAGCCACCGTGTCATCAATGTTCAAGAGAAAAACCGAATGTGCTGAAATGCGCAATCTTTTAAACTTTGAAATTGTTGACGCAATTACGAGTGCTAATATTCCGATTGAAAAACTGGATCACCCCAAAATGAGAGAATTTCTAACGAAAAATATTTCGGGTGCAGGTGCTTTACCTTGTGCTAATTCTCTTTGCCAAAATTATTTACCAAAAGTGTTTGAAGTAAAGAAGAATGAATTGAAAGAAATTCTTCGTTCTACTGATTCACTCTGCATCGGCAGTGATGATAAAGACAATTATGTTTTACATATTTTAGCTGTCCCGCAATTTACAGATACTGCAATGATGCATCCTTATCTTCTTGATAGCATTCATCTTGAAGCCGTACAATCGACTGCAGTTTCTCAAGCCGTAGTGCAGTGCTTGACAAATGTGGAGATTGATTTCAGCTATCTTAACAGATTACGCAACTTACATGACTCGGGCGTACAAGGAAGTGTTGCGTACTCTACTGCCCAATTCAGTGCACATGACCTGCAATGCTCACATTCTTAATTTAGCTTCTGATCAGTAGCGTGAACATTTTTCAGAGGTGGACAAATTCACAGGAAACTTTAAGAAATTGTTCAAGTATTGTCCTGCAAGAAAGCGCCGCTATTTAAAGTTTTTAACAGATAACAATAAGAAAGCTAAACTTTGTCCAGTTCCAATAAAGACACGGTGGAATTCCTGGTTTAAATCAGTGTAATATCATGCTGAATATTGTAATGTTTACATAGAATTTTTTAGTAGTGAAATAAACCTTACTCCTGACACTGCTTGTCTCAATCAGTGCAAAGTTTTGGTGGAAAGCAAGTACGTTTGCAAAGACTTTCAATTCATTGCAGAACACGCTCAGATATTAATGGATACTCTTCTCTTTTTCGAAACAAGTGGTGTATCTATTCACAAAGCTTACAATAAGATTTTTGATCTGCGGTCTGAACTTCGATGTAATTCTCAGGCATCATATTCACTAAAAGATTCGCGCAACGTATTTCTTCAAGAAGTGTTTCACAAAACAATTGCCAAGTTGAATACTTACTACTCTCCAGAAGTAGACGTATTCAAAAAACGCGGGCCCAAGTTTAGTCAACCTGCATGACTTCATGAAAGCTGCTCGAGTTTTCGATCCAGAACAAATAGTCAACCTCAATATTGAAGACGACGATGTATTCAAGAATATTCCAGGAATGAGTGGTCAAGATATAAAACTCAAGTATACTGCTTACAAAGAATATGCAAAAGAATGTTCAAACCAGGACTTAATTAGATTCTGGAATTCAGAGGTAGTCTCAGAGAGATTTCCAGAACTTACAAAAAAAGCAAGACAAGTGCTCTCAGTGCTTCCTAATTCAGTAGATTGTGAAAGAGCAATATCCTGCTACGGCCAAATTTTTACAAAACAAAGATAGAGTTTGAAAGAATGCGCAGCTTTTGGACTAACTTCTCTCCATTTTAATAATTGTTCTGATGTAGAAAATGGATGTACAATACATAAGAAGGTAATTTAGTTGAAATCTTTACCATATTCATTGAAATTTTTTTTTTATTAAAACAGGAAAGAAAGTTTAACTTTTTTAAGAGATTTTTTTTTCAGTTTCAATTGTTTTCTGGGTCATTCGCAACCTGCATGCATAATTTTTAAAAGACACCGCATAATTTATAGGGCCCTATTTATAACGAAATTCTCCATAAAGCCACATGAACTTTACAATCTCTAAAGCAAATCAAAATTGATAAATTTGTTGGATTTTATTACTAAAGCTCATTTCAGTAAACAAAACGTAAATGTGCCATTTTGTGTTTTAAAGTTGTATTTTTATATAAAAATTATTAAATTTATTGGTTGTTAAATTTTGTAAAGCTGTATAAACTGTTTTAAAATATATTACCATGTTTAGGAAGTAAGATTAAAGATCTATATGGCATATTTCAAGGTTTGGGTTATAAAAATCTACAACTGTAATTTTTTGATAAGATGTTTTTTTCCCTGTGGTAGCATACATAAAAAAAAAGGTTATGCTTCAGAATTTAAATTTTTTTGATGCCATGAATTAAGGGAAATATTTTAATCTTATGTTACTTATTAATGCTTGATAATTCGTGCTTATGATCTGTTGCAATAAAATAATTCTTTGTGCACAATTTAGATAATCTTTAACTGAACTGATGAAGGACGAGCATAAAAAAAAGGTGAACTAATTGTTTTATCTGTTACAAGTCCTGTGGCAGAATTTTTTTGAGCTTTCTGCAACAATTCTCTCTAGTACTGATACCTTTCTGAGAGACATTTTTTATAGTAGCAAATATATATGTTGCTTTAATTAAGTAACAGTAACGCTTTCTGTTTACAAAGAAGAAAAAAAAAGCTTTCATGTATAGAAAATAACTTAATTTTTTAATATTAAATGCAAGATTTTTTTTTAATTCTACATATAATTGAATACATATCCAATATTATTGGCAATATTCTGCTGTTCTAAAAAAATATTTGTATAGTTACTTTTTTTAAATTGTTGCTGTTTGGAAATACTTTTTAAATTATCAATATGAAATTTTAGCTAAAGCCGGTCATTACGGAATTTTTTTATTCGAAAAAGAAAGTATTAAAAAAAAAAATCTAGTGTTTCTACCACCTCTGATATGCAAGAAAGGCATTTTTTGAATATAGTTCTGCAGATAAAAAAAAACCTAACTTCTTTGCTTCCTAAATAAAAAATCTTTCTGCAAGAACTCTGTAATGTTATGCTACAATGTCGCCAAGGGGGTTACAAATAAGTCAATTATAAACAAGTTTTGTTATTTCAATTAATTTATTTAAGACTTAAACACATATTGAATGTTTTTAAAGTTATTAATAACTTGCCTTATCTCTAGTTCAACATCCTTGTTTTATATTGAACTATGCCTTTAAAAAAATATTGATAATGTATTCTTTCAATTTAAAATATGTTTCTTCTGCAGTTTCCTCTTAAGACTTTTAAATTAAATACTATATACATGCTATTTGCGTAATATTTTTGAAAAGAGATTAGAACTGCTTATGTTTGATTTTTGTTTTTTAATAGCCCTTAAAAATGCTATTTTCATTGGGTATTTGTAGAAAGTGCTTAACCTTTTTCTTAATCATGACGATTGCTGCCATATATTATATAAAATGTATGGTTTTCACAATATTCATTAAGCATTTTCACCATATTTAATGTAAACATTTAATTTTTTTAAATTATGAAATAAGATCGAAGTGATAATTGAATCCCCCCCAAGTTGGAACAAAGAAGCATACCGTATCTTCACGAGAACTGCCGTATGCAAAGCAAACTACAATACATAAATCTCTGACAAAACAATTTCATTATTGTATTAAATATCCTACAAAATTTACAGAAACTGTGTTTTACCGTCCTTTTTAACTTAATTATATCAAGAAAGAATATAGAATAATTTCTAAGAAAATATAAAATTTTATTATCACAAATTTATATACAGCAAGCTGAAAATACAATATGAACTATAAATTAGATTTTTATAGCATAAAATAAACAAGATATAGGTTTTTTCCCCTTTATATCACAAATTACATGCACTTGAACAGTATGCTGAAGAGGCACTTAATAAAAATTGTTTTCAGCAACCATAGTATCAATTGCATCAGGAGATAAAATCAAGTATGAGAATGTTTTTATTTCAAAAAATTAAACAGAATTAAGTGAGGTAAGAAAAAAAAAGCAAATCTTACATATAAAGTAATTGTAAACACAAACAAAGATTCAAATCAATAATTCACCTTCTGAAACTTAAAAGAAAATGATTGAAATTTATTTATATGTTTGTTTATTGCTGTGTAATATTTGTACGTTTGTGATATGTCTTTATCTAGCGAAACAAACAATGTATCCGCACAACAAGAGGAAAAAATTGCACTTCATTAAATTAGGAAAAGACACACAATTTCATTCAAACACAATTCTTCTAAAGTACTTAAAAAATAGGAGATCATTCGAAAACTCTTTGTAATATTTTCATCAGTGCAAACTAAACTTCATATTTAGCAATTAGGTCTTAAAAGTACCAATTTTATTTACAAGACACACAAATTTCAATTCAAAATATATTGTACTTTTTTGTAAAAACTAAAGTGATTTTAAGATTTAAAAAAAAAATCAAAATTTAATTTAAGATACCATTGAATATAAAATCTAACATAACAAAGAAGGGAAAAAATTACATCAAAGTTTGCTATTTATACAAAAGGCAGGATATAACGACTTTCCTTAAATAAATAAATTTCAATAAAATATTAAGTAATAAAAAATCGTTCTTAAATGCATCTGATGGTTTTTCGGTTTTTTATTCTTTATCATTTAAATAGGAAGAGAAACAAAGTTACTTCATTAATAGATACATTCTTCATTTACAAAGATTATAAATTTTTAAATCAAGAAAAACAAAAAATTAATACTAAAATCTAGTTTCAAATATCATGGCTTAAAAATTGGAATTTTGAACAGAAAAACACAGTTTGTCCAATTTTTAACAATTTGTATAATTAATGATTTGGTCAGTCACCTTTCCTTTTGTTCATTTTATAATTATTTTTTAATAAATATTGAAATGTATGAATATTTAATAATGTTCTGAAAATTAATTTATCTTACTCTTGTTTCTAAATGTATATTTTTTTTCATTTTAGAAATGAACCTTGTAATGTTTATTTCATTTTGAGAAATGATAAAAAATAAATGACTTACATTATTATTATAAACAATTTTCTGAATTATTTTAAATTATTGAAAAAGTAGTCGCATCTTTTAAAAAGTGGTAAACTGTTAAAAATGCAACAGTCAGTTGCTATATATTTTCTAATTTTGCCCAGTATCGTATGGTAATTTTTTGTTAAATTGAATTACATATTCTGTATTGCTGTAATTTTTAATATATTTCTTAGATGTAAATTAATTTGTCGATTAGGAAAATTTTCAATACATGGAATATTTAACATAAGTATTCACTAAAGCAGGATTTTACTGAGTTGTTTAAGTGGAATAAGCCATTGCCCTCCAACAAAAACGTATAGATAACAGGAAAATAGGCCTTATTGAACAGTTTTAAGATAGCATAATATACTTTTTACTGAAGGTTTGTAATAGATAACTATATTTAATTACCAAATCTTTTATATTCAAACTAATTAATAAAATAATTTAAGTATGACATAATAAATAAAAAAATTAACTACAATTTTTATGCAAATTCCAATTATAGAACCATTTATTGTACAGGTAAAACTGAATTTACTTTTATAAATGTATTTTAAATTTGTTAAATGTCTAAAAAAAAAGAGATTCCACAATAAAATTTCACAAAACTCACAGTTGGCACAAAAAATATTAAAAATTCTAAACAATCAAAATATCATGCACCAAATATATCATTGGCTTCCAGGCATTTGCAACCACAACCAGAAGGACAGACATTCATTTCTGAAAACCAATCCTGCATATGCTTTGTATGGCCACCATGCCCACATGCAAGACAAAAACTAGAGCAACCTGTAGAATGAATAATTAATTTAATAGTAGTTAGGAGCAACAGCAAGAAGAGAAAAAAAAATGAACACAGAAGAGTTGATATTTCAATGATGTGATTGGACATTTGGAAGATTTTTCTAATCACAAGTTTCGCACTTTTAGAGCAACACATAATGAAGCAGAAACTTTTATCAATGATAAAAACGCTCTTAATTTTATAAATTTCCCAAATTTGGAACAAAAATTATGGAACTAGTTCAGTGTAATTTTTGAAAAATATTTATAGAAAATACAGTAGGGAACCGATTATCCGGAACGATCGGGACCATTGCTATTCCGGATAACTGATTTTTCCGGTTTTCTGAGTCGCTACAAAAAGCCGTTTTTTTTTATTGTTAAACCCAACTAAAAAAAATAAATATTTGGAAATAATCTTAAAAAGAAGAAAAAACGATGAAATAATACACTAATGATTATTTCCAAAATGATGGTAAGGTAAAAATCTTTCAAAAAAGAAAGAAAAATCCTAAAATCTCATGAGGAAAAAAAAACATTTATTTAAAAAAATGGTGGGAAAATTTATCGAATTTCGTTCCGGTTTTTTGGTTTTCCGGTTTTCTGATTTCCGGATAACGGGTTCTGTACTGTACTTATTTTGCAGGAAAGTTAAAATGAATTGGAGCTGCATATTTAACACTGGCATTATTATGCATTATTTTTATAATAAAAAAGTGACTTTCAATTTTCTCATGTATAAAGAACTTCAATAAAAAATGTATTTGAGTTCCAATGTTTGACATTGTAGCTCATTGTTTTTAAGAATAATTAAGCATGCACAAGTTTTGCGCACTATTTCTAATAATTTATTGTGCAACTTGAAACAAGAAAAAACACCCAAATATAAATTAACATTTCACCTTAAACGAAGTTTGAAATATAAATAAATAATATGCTTTGTTACTACCTTGCTTATTTATTCCGTTTTCCCTTTACAGCTTTTGAATTCAGTGGAGAAACTACTTAACATCTACAACTCCTGAAGCAACAAAATTAAAAATACTGTATCTACAATTAAAAACTTTTAAGTCTGTTAAACTTTCTCAAGTTACTCGATACTCTGGAATTAACTATCTTAACGTTTCTTATTTTTTTTCTGAACATAATTTAGAGTGTTGTTTCAAAATTAATTGTATGCATTAGAAATAGTTTTTTGAAAGGTATAATTTAATAGAGAGTTATTCATATCTATCTCATTGCTTATAACGCAATGTCTGACAACATTACTGGTTTGTGAGTCGACCCCCAGACTTTTAGGAAATTTTGGGGTTTTGAAAGTAGACTCATACACAGACATATATGGTATTTTACAAAGAATTTGACAGATAAAAAGACACCGCTTCACACATCATGCACAAATTTCACAGAAAAAAATAGCATAAATGCTTTTTTACTTACCTTTAACACCAACTCGACAAATAATGCACATAAAGCTAATTTTTTTACATGAGGGACATTGAGCACTCGTGACATCATTTTTGCAGTGGAAGCATTCTTTTGTGAAATCTACATAAAAAAAGTGGCACAATAATTTATCTTTATAATGAAAAATGAAAGACGCAGCAAATTTGAGAAGTAAAAATGACATTTCTTTTTTTATTTAATTATGAGGGCAACTCGGAAACCAATTGTGGAGATGTGATACAGCCATTGTTACAGCAACCAATTTGTGATTTTATTCTAGTGAAAGCAGTGTACCACCGCAGGTTTGCATGCTACCATTAAAAATTCAGCAAAATGTGAAAAGTTTACTGTATCACCTTGAGGGACCATCCAGAAGAACTGTAACCTGCTGACATATGTGGTTGTATTGCTGCAAAATAAGACTCACTGCGCTCGGTGAATGTAAGATGTTCTGTGCTATTTCAGATGATATGCATTTAACATGCATGAATTTCTCATGATCATCTCCTGAATATCATGAAGAAGGACTCAGATTTAGAAAGCTGAGCCCTTCTCAGCCTTAAGGTAGGCTGAGCCATTAGCTCAGCCATGAAAAAGGCCTCAGCTTATCTTAGAGCTCAGCACTTTTTCGCCTATACCACTGTGACAAGGCGCGATGGCTCAGAGGATAGAGAGTTCGTCTTCCGAAAAGGTGAACCGGGTTCGAATCCCAGTCTATGGATTCTGCATGTACGGGTTCTGCTACGGATTCTGCATCCCCAGTACATGAATTCTGCATCCGGCTTGCACCAACCACAGTACTGATGTGAAATATCCAGTGGTATACAGATCATGGGTTAGAGTCCCCTAGCCGTCAGGCTAACCATGGCAGGTTCTCGTGATCTTCCTCTCCACGTAAAGCAAATGCAGGTTAGCTCCATCAAAAAGTCCTCCACGAAGGCAAATTTCTTCCAATACTTGATCCAGGAGTTCTCTTGTCTTCTGGATTGGGTTCAAAATTACAAGGCTACCGAGTTGAACATTAGTAGTCGTAAATCCATAAAATTGGGCAGGCACGGTTATGAAAAATACCACAGTGACAAGTAGGTTGGAATTAAAGATGGCTTAGTTTTTTGCTAGGACTTGTAATTTAATGAAGTGCTATAACAAGTGTCTGAATGTACACAGTGTCTGTTTTGAAAAATAGAAGACAGCTCAATCTTTCAGAAATCAGAAGGAAAAAAAAATTGTAGCATCTATGGAGGTTTTTTATTTACAACGATAGTTTTCAAATTTTCCTTTTATAATAGAAAGTATAGAGGTGAACAATGCAGACTTTTACAGTAAGATTAGAAAAAAGTATAAGAATAATATTTTTAAATTAAAATGAGATAAACATTGAAAATAAATTAAACCAAATGAAGCATAGTTTGAATGAATCATTTGATTACAAAACTTTATTTTCTTAAATTCTGAGTGTTTCTTTATATTTTATCCTTTGAAAAAATGAGGGGTATTTTATACACCAATACTGTTTCAGGTTATATATTATCTTTAGTAAATAATAATTGATTAATACAACATTTAGTACTAGTTTAAGGAACTAATATCAAATAATTAAAATTAATAAAACTAATTCAGAGAAAATGTGTTAAAAATTAATAGCAACAACATAAATAAAATCAAATAAGGTATACAATTTAAAAAGGAAAGATGCGTAGTTTTGTTTATTAGAATACAGCTAAAGTACATTAAAGTATTACAAAAACACTTAATGGAAGGAGGAGTGTGTGGTTTCCTTATTTTTTCTGATAAGGGTGGAGGGTCTTACATGAGCAATGCTTATGTAAGACATTAAAATCCCTCATTTTTGAAATTTTCATAAATAGCAAAATTAAAAATGCAATAAAAAAATTACACATGAAATTTTTTTAAATTTGGAGTTAAGGGTGAATTAATGGAGAAGAAATTGAAAACAAAAATTCTCAAAGAGATCACGAGGTCAGCTGTTTTAAGCATAAAAGATTTCAAAAGAATAATCTACTTACATTTATGAGAATCAATTAAAATGTAATTTTATTTAATGCAAAATTGCAATACCAATGACTTTATTCCTAAAATTAGATTTATACAGTAGTAGTCGAAATTAAAGCAAAAACTGGGGGCATTGAATTCACTTATTTTTGCTGATAAGAGGAGAGATCAAAATTGCAAAAACATAGTTGCATAATACTTGAGTGAACACTTTATTTCAATGCAAATTCTAAATAAAGCAAGAAAATGTGAAACACTCAGCTGTTGACATTAAAACAAGGGTCTTCAAGGTGTGTTCCATGACTAAAGACATATCATTTTACTGTCCCACTGAATTTTCTCATTCAATTTAAAACAATAGTTTGATAAAAAAAAAACTAATATAGCCCTTAGAATGAAAATTAATCCAAATGATAACTAGTAGACAATAGCATGTAATTTGTACACAGAAATTATATTCATTGAGGATAACTTACCAAGACCTTTATGTTTTTCTGCAGGAGTAGAAACTGTTTTTAATACTTGAGCTCGCTGTTCAAGTAAGTTCCAGCGATAAAGCACATCTGCATAAACCATCTTGTATTGATCAAATTGAGCACAGAAGGTAGGATCCAACAGTCTGGAGAAAAAAAACAGGTAAGAACATTTTATTATTTGAAGATACATTTTGAATAATTTTCCTTATAAATTAAGTATTATTAAATTAGTTCTATTGATCACAAAAACCAGGAAACAAAACATCTTTTAACAATGAAGCAATGCATTTTTTTGTTTTTGTGAAGGAATGACAAACTTAACTACAAACTTATTTTTTTCTTTATTTATTCAGTAATACCCAAATACTTTTGAAAACTAGATAAGGTTTTAAAGAAAAACAATCATTTTCTATAAAGAAAATTTGAGAAAAGGTTGAGTTAATAAATAGAAGACACAAAAAACTTACTTAGAACTGGCATCTAATATGTCCCTTTCTTCATCGCGAAAATCATTCCTTCCATCTCTGCCAGTATGTTCGTCAAATACATTGTAGTCTTCAACTACATCAGACCAGCTGTTAGAACGATTCCGTTTCAAGGCTGCTCCTACTGATAGAAGTCAACTTAGAAAGTAATAATGCAGACTAAATTCACAATTCATACCGGCCAATGTGTATTTACTCTTCTCAAGTTTCCCCCCCCCATTCAAATGCCATTTCAATTATAAGCTGGTGTTTCATTAAGGTATAGTCACCACTTAACACACTTTCAGAGAGCTAATAAGACTGCTATATGTTTCAAATATTTGAATGTAATGATAGTCAAAATCATTTTAAATCCATTTATTCAAATAAGAATAAAGTGTGAAAGTATAAATTTTGTTATCACCTTAAATATAAAAATAATATCATTTAGAAAATTCGAAATAGTTGGTGGGTATGATAATTGCATATCTTCTGGATTACTTTTAAACTTGCTCAACTCTTGTGCTACAAAGGAAAAAAGGTCAGTCAAATTTCTCGTAAGTGTCTAAAATGAGGTATTCATCCATCATGGGGGAAAAAGTTAAAATTGCAGTTAAGAAATTCTGATCTTTAAAATAGGTACAGATCTTCATAATATAGGGTGATATTTACAGAATAGCTTGTAAACTTTTTCGACCCTTGAATTATAAAGAAAAAGGTAATTCGACTTTTTCAGAGGCATCAAAATTAGACATCTGCTCTTCATGAGAACAAAGCATAAGCTGCTGTAAAGAAACTGTGATATTTATAATGTATACAAACAGTAGGAAACTACTTTTATTAAATATTTCTCAGCAATATAAAATACTAATTTTTAACACATGACTCTACATTTGTGTGTTATGTAATGTTTACATTACATAATCAAGAAATCATTAGTAGCATTCTCAAATGAATTTCCTGTTAAAAAATAGCATTAAATGTAGCTACAATTTAAATTTCGTAGAAATAATTATCATAAAAAGCTTTTTCTATGAGGAAGTAAGGATGGTAAAAGTGCAAAAAAATCTACATTGTTAACTCCTTTTTCTGTAGAATCAAAGCCTTGCTGATGTTCTAGAAAGTATAATGATATAATAATGCATTATGCTTAATCCTCAATGTAACCTGTGTTCCCCGACTGAGTCACAAACTGTTGTTATTTTATATATATAATCCACGTAATACCTTTGCAACACCATTAGCAACCTTTTTATATCACTACTTTTACCACAATTATAAACAAAAGTTTATTATTTTTTTATAACTGTTGTTGAACAGCCGACCCAATTTTTTTGGGTTCACGACTACAAATGTTCAACTCCGTAGCCTTGCAATTTTGAACCCAATCCAGAAGTAGAGGGAACTCCTGTATCAAGTACTGGAAGAAATTTGCCTTTGCGGAGGACTTTTTGATTGAACTGACCCCCATTTGTGTAACATGGAGAGGAAGACCACGAAAACCTACGGTTAGCTTGACGGCAAGGGGTCTCAAACCCATGATCCGTCTACCACTGAGGATATTCCACATTAGCACTGCGGTCGGTGCATTCCGGATGCGGAATTCGTATCGACCAGCCATCGCCAATCTGTCCAAGTTATTCCAATTTGTCAATACTGTACTAAAAAAGATATCCCAACAAATCAATATTCTACGTACAATGTTATCTCAGTGTATCACTATTATATGAACAATATTATCACAATCTATTAAAATTTTATGTAATACATGTTTCGTTACTTCCAAAATAATAGGGGGGGAAAAAGAAGAAAGGTAGGTTTTTAAATGAATAATCCAAAGAAACTGAAGAAGAAAAAAGACATATTTTATAATAAAAGCCTCATTTAAAGTTGTGATGTTTCAAGCACTCAAAGGTCAGTGTCCCTTTTTGAAAATCACTAGACTTAAGCTATGAAGTTGTGGAATATTTTTATGTTTCAAAACTCTATTGTTTTTTTTCATTTACATCTAACAATTAAGTCTTCAAAATCGCGCCTATTTTTTGAGCACTCAAAACAATCATATAAAGGAGAACTTATTGTAAATATATATTTTTAATGGTCAGTTTTTAATGTTACATTGCCACATGGTAGCATAATTGTTTTCCTATCCTATGTTTGCAATTATGTGTGTGTATATGACTATGATACTTATAATTTGTGCATGACATGGTCATTATCTTTTGCAGTAAAAACATAAGCATTACAAAAGGTGGAATTTTTAACAAAAATATTTGTATTAGAAAAAAATTGTTTTTACCTATACTCCACCCTTCAAATGAAATATCAGCAGGAACGACAGTATGATATGGAGAACCTCCAGGCTACCAAATAAATTCAAAAAAATTTACTAATAAACAAAGAAAAAGTACAAAATAATATTGACATCAATCAAAGAATAATTCCAAAATTTTTTTATAAAACAGCAATAACATAGCACACACTGCAAGCAAACTAAAAAAAAAGTTTGTTAGAAAGCAAACGCACAACAAAATAAAACTCAGAACGAAAATAAGGTATCACTGCAAACTAAATAATTTAGAGACATAGAAACAAAAAAATGTAAGCTATAAGCTTATCTAAAGTCTAAATGTTAAAATAATTATCATAATGCCTAAATACTAATAGGGAACAACAACTTACATTTATGAAAAGAAACATTAATTTGACATATTTCCTTTATGGGGACTTAATACGCTAAAAAGTAATTAAAAATAGAAAAACAAAAAGCTAAACTAATGATCTCAAACTTCCACATAGATTTTTGCGTTTTATTTTGAAATAAACAAATAATTATTAATTTTTAACCTTTATTTTTTTTAATTAACTAAGACTTATTTGAAGAGGGAAAAATAATGATGAATATAACAAATAAGGTTTTCAAGAAAACTTGAATAATGATGTTAGGAAATAAGACTGGTTTGAGGATAAATTAAAAATAAAAAACCTTTATTAAGAAATATAATTTTTGCTCTTTGGTGCTTTTGGAAACTTTAGAGATGGATTCTTTATAACTGATTTCCTAGGAAATTACCATAAGAGGTATTATTTCAAATCGTGCAATTCCTTAAAATCGAAAAATACAAGCAGACCAGAGTTCTAAAATCTCTATAATCTGACAGAATGGATTAAAACTATTTTCACAGTTCCAACTAATACAGGATAAAATATAAATACACAAAACCTTATGGCTTTAAATTGAAACAATAAAGGTTTTGGAAAACTTGCAATCAGATGTATAGAAATTTTCACAGAATATAAAAGCTAAAGAACATTTCTTTGGTAAGTTTTAATAAGTTTATAAAAACAAAACTTTATACTATTATCCTCTAATTTTCCCCCGATTAATGAAGAAGTAAGAAATCAAATTAAAAAAGGGCTTGAATCTATTTCATGCGAGGTTACAAATAAAATGTGCAAGCATATCATGCAGATTAAAGGATTTTCACTAATTAACACACCGACATACCTTTAGCCACCATTTCCCAGAAAAAAGCTATAAATATATAAAACAGTCAGATTATAAAATAAATATTAAACCTAATTAAATTATTAGGTGTAATAAAAATTTGTGAACAAAATTAAACAAATTAAGAAATATTTTAATACAGTGAATACTAAAGCTATCTTAACTTAAATTTAGAAAAAATGTAAATTGATACTAAATATGTAAAATATATTTTATATATAAGAATATAATAGAAACTTTCAATATGCACAGAAATTTTTTCCATAATTACAGAACTTCTAAAACAAATTAAAAAAATTGATTTAAAACAAATACAATGACTTCATTGAAAATATTTTTAAGTGTGAAAATACTTTTATTTATTAAAAACAGAAAGAAAGAAAGGGACAAAATGCTACAAAAATTGCACTGGGATAAGCAACTTTAAACACTTGGATAAGTATACATGGATAACTAACTTTAGAAAAGAAACAATTCAATACAGTGCAAGTACTAAAACGGAGTATTCAATTTAGGTAAGTGGTACAGTTTTTGAAAAGTATTTGTAACATTTGAAGACATAAGTAGAAGAAATAATAAACAGTAAAAAATAAACAATTATAATTAGACACATATCTTAATGTAATAAAAATAATAAACTTATAACCAAACATATAGAGACAAATAATAAATCTTACAATTTAAATATTATTCGACAAAACATAATAATAGGGATTGAAAAAATCATTAGTTATCAAATAATTTTTGCTTTGAAATTCATGTTCTTATTCATATTATACTTAGGCGTCTGATAAAATGGTTAAATGTATGCATATTTATCACCGTTATAGTATTATGCAATTACACTTTAACATAGTTCATTGTCACAACTACGATATCACAAATAATATATGTTTCATTATTTGTGTTATGGCATATCTCAAAGAAGAAAAATATTTATTTAAATTGAGTTAAAGTTTGATATAACAAATACAAACATAGAGTTAACGTAAATTTTAGCAAATAAATAATTTTCATTGCAAAATAATTCTTAACAAATAATTCCAAGATTAAAAGCATTCATATAATAAAATATTCAACAGCAGTATCTCTCAACCAGATTAACTGAAAGGATCGGTAAAATACTTAGGCATTTTATTGCAGATCAGAGTGGTTTGCAATTTGGACTATTGGCATGCTTTTTACTTATACAAAATTGCGTTACTAAAACAATTTTTGATAAGTTTTTTTTTCTGATCATACACATACTTTCTACAATAAAAACTATTTTGGGCCTACACTTATATTATTATAAATAAAATTTATATTAATTCTATTAGCTAATAGAAATAATCAACGGATCAGTAATTGAGAAACAATGTTCTTGAGTCTTTCAATCACTCTAATTTTTATAGCAGTAGTAGAAAAAAAATAAAAGTTGTGTGAAATGATAATTTAATCTACAAATTATCATTTCACACAACTTAAGGCTGAAAGAGATAATATCTTAACTCATTATATATATTACATACGGGATATAAATAACAATTTATTTTTAAACGTATGAAGTTCTGAAGTCTAACTGGTATATCTAGAAGACCCCAAAAAACACTTTTACTTTCCATAGCCATGATTAAATGCAACTGAAGGTAGCAATCAAATATTTTTTTTCAAAATTATTAAAATCTCACAACTCCTTTCACATATTAAATAAAAAGAAGCTTTAAAAATGTATAGAATTTAGAATCCCAAATAATCTTGAGATGATTATGTTAGAAATGCAGACAATTGCTAATTGTTTTAGCATAAAAATATTTTTAAACAAATAACCATTGAGTTTTTCTTCATGTTAATATAAACCAACATATTTTTAACACAAAAGTATCAAATTTTAATAAAATAAGAAAGAATATTTTGTAAAAATTTTTTTTTTAATGTTAAGATAATTAGGGTAAGAAAAGATAATTTAATAGAAGAGTTAAGCAAATCTTAGGATTCAAAAAATTTCAAACAATGAAAAGCATAATTTTCTACATATAAATTATAAATCAACACAAATTAAATAATAAAAGCAATTTCAATAAAATCAAAAACCAAACAATAAATTCTATCTCTCTAAATTATGTTGAGATCATTTGGTAAAAAACAATTAATATAACAGGGTGGAAGGTTTACAAATTTTTAAGAAAGAAATCTTTTTAACTTTTAAAAACTTTAAATAACGTTTTTCATAAAACAACATCTTATCACACATAAAATGTAAATTATATAATTTTTTGTAAGATATAAAAAATTGAATATCCCAGCATTTATTTCTATTCAATCCAATATTATATCAGTTTATGAAGCTTTTAAACAGGACAGGGAATCTTAATTCAATCTAAAAATAACAGAATCTTTGGATTCAGTTTGCATTTCTTATATTCAAGGTTTCAATAGCTGAAAATATGCTTTATTCCTCTCTTGATGAAAACCTAACCAATAACCTAACTTAAGAATTTTACAACAAAAAATCTGGATATTATCAATAAAGCTTTTGATAAAAAAAAAAGGGGGGGAAGTTTTTATGAGTGTTCCCCATTATAAGTGTCTTTTATTTAGTCCCAAGTGATTCTATATTATAAGATCAAATAATAAACTACAATAAAAACATTGCTTGTCTAATAAATAATAGAACATGAAGGAAAAAAAATATTAAACATTATTATATATAGATTAAGGTAGCATATTTTTGTCAAAGTATTTTTTTCTATTTAAAATACTCACACTCATTGCATTTGGTAACACAATTTCTGCACCTTTTTTGGCTTTGTTTTCTTGTGACTTAGTATGGAAAACTGCAGCTAACATGGCAGCAGTTTGAACATCATAGTGGTTGGCATAATGAAAGATTCTGAAAAAAAAAAAATATTTTAAAATGTTCTTCGTAATAAAAAAATTAAACCAGTAAACAATAGATATGCCTTTTTAATTTACAAAAGCAAAATTTGAGAAAATTTTATGATTCAATAAAAAACTGAATAATAAAAAATTAGTTAATAATTATTTTTGCAAAGCATTATCTTTGGATAAACAAGTCTTGTAATTTTGTACATATTTGTGTCAATTCAACTAATATTTTCAGTGATATTACAAAAAGGATAAAGTTTTGATAATTTTCCAGACCAAATTATTGATAAATTATGATTATTGATATAAATCTGAATCGGCAGAAAAAGGTATTTTTTATTCAGAGAAAATACATTTATGATTAATTTGGTAACTTACAATTTTGTCAGCACTAATTATGTAGATAGTAAGAGTCATGTTGGCAAATGTCTAAGATTTGTTAGTTTACCTCCTAAGGTTGCATCTTAGCACATGGAAATCAGATTATGCAATGAGAATAAAAACAAAAATATATATGTTATATATAATATCTGACGCCCAGTGGCTGAGTGGTAGCGCTTTGCGCCCCCGTGCCACAGGTCCCGGGTTTGATTCTCGGGCCAGGCAAGGTTGACTCAGCTTTTTATCCCTTCAGTGGATTGATAATTGAGTACCAAGTATGCTTGGGAACTAAATACTGGGGATTTCGCGTTCGGCTGACCACCTAACTGGAACATCTGCTCCTGCACCCCAGAGCCCAAGGTCAAAAAAACTGAGATGGGCACAGTAAGCCTTGGCCCTCTCTGGGCTGTCGCGCCACTGAGTTTAGTTTTTATATAAAATATCTAACAATATGAAAAATCATGCTTGCTACTGTGTTTTAATTTTAGCAAAAATGATTGAAAGGATTTTACACAAGTACCTTAAATCAAATTTTTCCTTTGCTCATTTTACATAACTTTGAAATTTATGAAAAGACCAAAGATATCATTTTCCTGAACCAGCCTTGGGAATTTTTCCCACATCATTCAGGGCATCTATATTCAAGCTCCATGGCAAAATTGCCCATGAGCAATGGCACAACACAGAAATTCAGAAACAAGCTAAGGAGCTGAATCATGACTGTCCCAGTGTACGTCAAAAAGAGCTTCTTAATCTAAACAGGAACAGTTTGAGGAAGATCATTGGTCTTCTCACTGGACATTGCATCCTCAAGAGACACCTACACATAATGGGTATTGAATCTAATCCTCTTTGTAGAGGTTGTCATCTTGAAGAGGAGACTTCACGACATATACTTTGTGATTGTAAGGTCTATTCTGCTCAAAGATTTGAGCATTTAGGGCAACACTGCATTAAGGCCTCGGAACTGTAAAATGTTCCCGTAAGGTGTTTGCTGGATTTCATTTCAGTCATAAGGCCTTGTTAATCATGATTTAGGGTTTGGGTACAATAGACCTCTGGTCGATGTGACCTGCTCTTAGGAGCTGCCCAACCTCTAAATCTATCTAAGATATAATTTCATTATGATAACATGACAGTTAATATAATAAGCACCAATGGGTGATCAAGGATTTAATGAACAAAGCATTGAAACGCACAACAACATGTTATAATATTTTTTAATGTAACATTAATTAAATTACAAGTTTAAAAAAAAATTTTGAAAGGAAAAAAAGTAATACATTTAATATATTTTTTTTAAAAATTCAAAATTTAAAATTTTTTTTCTTTTGATGGATATACCTCATACTTTAAAACTTGAGTCTCTGTTATTCTGACAAGTTGACACCAAATAACTTTCACAAGTGGTATACAAAAGGGGTGCACAACCTGCCTGCCAAAAGAGGCTCATAAAGCCTTTCAACTTAGCCTCTGAACAGTATAATATATAAATAGCAATAAAAATATAACACCAATATTTTTTCTCCAGTCATGCTCTGCAACAGTAAGTTACTGATCTAGTTTACAACTTTTCTCAAAGTATCAAACTGTGACCTTTGACCATTTTGTTATGAAAGTTCTGTAAATGCAATAGACTCAGTGTCAACTGAGAAATGCTATTACTCAAGAATTTGCGCATTAATAGTTAATTTAAGCAGTGTTTTCATAATAGAAAAAAAATGGGTGACAATTTCTCACCCTTTCTCAAAAACAGGGTGAGATTTCAGAAAGTTAAGTGAGATTTCTAAAAACTGAAAAAATACAAATAGACTTGGAAAAAAAATCATTTCTTTTATTATAATACATTTTAACGGTCTTCTATTTTTTAAAGCATTGAATATTTTTGCTGCATCATCATAGAAGATTTTGCCTTTACTAGGTATTTGTCCATCTTACATTAGTGCATAAAAAAATTTGAACGTCTTATATGAAAAACCATACCTACAGTAAACACGTGGTTGCAGAGAAATGTGTTTTGAAAGGGGTTCCATGGTTCGGAGGGGTTGTGTTCTGTTGTTCGAAAAGGTTCTGAACAATACTGGTAAATAGGGAAGCTAGATAATGGGGCGGATGTTGAAAATAATAAAAGATCGAGGAAGAAAAGTGAAACTGATTTTATTCTAAATGACGTAATTCGAAGCTTTTTCCAAAATGCGAGAATTTCGCGAATTTCTCGCGGTAATAATTTTTTAATGCGAGAAAAGAAAAAAATATGCGAGATTCTCGAGTTCTCGGGCTGTAGTGAAAACACTGATTTAAGTTACCCTCTTTTCATATTCGAATGAGTTCACCTTAATTTTCTTATTTTCTTAATTTTCACCGTAGTTTGATAAATATATTCGTTTAAATATAATTAGATTATTTCTATTTTTTTGCATTGAAGCAATAGATTAATTATACATTTATAACTCATTTATGTTACTTCCACATAGAATCTAAATGCTCCCTGCATTTTTATAATTACTACATTATGTTAATGTTGGCCTTAATAAAAATGGTTGCCCCTCCCCTACATAAAAAAGATTGTACATTCCTGGTGAAAATGTTTAAGTTTTGAACATTAATCCAAACACTTTTTCGTCAAACAATATAACTATGACGTAGATTTAACAGCAGAAAATAAGGAACTAACAATGATTGAAGCATTTTCCTTCCAAATGGATGCTTAGCCCAGGGAACATCATTTTCAGAATCAGTAACATTCAATAACGACGACGTACTAATAAGACTAGCTAATGACCACACCTAAAAGTAAATTCCCAACAGTATATGATTATTCACAAAAATAAAATACACAACATATTTTTCAATTATAAATTTGACAAAGCACACATCAAAAAATTAACCAACCTGTACAAGATCCCTGCAACCTTCTTTTGCAGCCATAGCTGCATTCTTTGAACAAATTGAAGTAATATCCTGAGATCCAAATCTAACAAATAGTGATTTATAGGATTTAAGTAATTATTTGCAAAATTTAGAAATTTCTAGTTTAAACTAATAACAAAACTGGCTTTTTATGAATAAATTGTACTTTGTTCTAAATTATACTTTGTTGATTAAGTTCATATCTTGACAACAGAAAATAAAGATTTAGCATAGCATTTTTTTCTTATCTGCAAGCTTCCATTGACAAAATTTTCAAATTCCTAAGAGCCACTTATTGTAATACTATTTGCAATAGTTGTTTGACAACTTTATCCACTAAAGCCAGTTTTAAGGGTCAAAAAGCAATAATGTTCCAAATTTTATATGTGAAAAACTATCTATAAAACTGCAAAATTTCTTGTAAAGATAAATTAATTTTCTTTCACATTTTTATAAAAGGGAATAGTATATAGGATAGAATAGGATAACATTTACAGACATATGCCTTATTAAAGAATATCTTTCAAACAAAGAGGTTAAACTTCCTCCACATTAACCTACATGGAAAATTATGTCTAGATTTTCCTTATTTACTAAGTAACTAATAAATATATTTAATTTCATTTTATTTATTGAAATGTGTTTTTTTTTAATAAAATGAAACAAAAAATACCAAAAATATTAATTAGTCATTTAACAAATAAGAAAATTCCGAACATAAATTTCCCTACACATTAACATGGAGGAAAGTGAGAAATACCTCAAAGGATTTAGATAGTATTCTAGATCTGGCAGTTAGAAAACTTTGTTTTGAAAAAGAAACTTTTTGGTTTAGCAAACTTTTTCTTTTCAAGCTCATACATAAGAAAATCGTATACAAGGGAGACACTTTCACAGAAATATAATTAAAATAACCCTCCAGAATTTGTAAGAGGAAAATTCTGACTAGATAACTGTATTGTATAGCCAATCTTCAAGTTCTAACATAAAAAACTGATGTATAGGCATAGAACATTCACATAAATCTGTCTATATTTGTGAAAATACTAAAGGGTACAAAAAGTAATAAACTTTTTAAGTTTTTATGAAATAATGAAATAAATTTGGTTCTTTTGTTACATATTAAAGTGCAAAAATATATTTTCAATTTGTAAAAGAGAATATATAGAAAGTTTCTTACACATAATTTTGGGCAAGATTCACATTTATTGCCATCAGTTTTGAGATACTATAAATCAATACAGCACCAGAATTACTCAACTGCTTTGAACCAGATGATCTTCTGTCTTGTATTGTTCTTCGTTTCTTTTGTTTCTAAAAATTATTTGAAATTATTAGATGAAATAGAAACATACACATAATTTTCTAAGCATTTTTTTTACTTCTTCTCATTGATAGTATTCATAGATACTACATTGCTAGATCCAAAATAATATTATTATTGATATTATTTAGATGGGGAAAGAAAAGTTTATTAAATACATAACAAAGATAATAAATAATACTGAAGAAGGATTTAAATTATTAAAAATTCAATTATGAGTAGCATAATTTAAATACAGTAGAACCCCGATTATTTGACACCCATGGGACCTTTATTGATTTTGATAGTGAAACTACTCAAAACTATTCACAACTAAAATAAAGTTTAATAAAAACCCTGGTGTTTTACTTTACTATTTCAAAGAATGATGTAAGATTGAAAATTAGTTCATTTATAATTTTTTCTGTTAAATAGATTTGTCCAAGCCAGAGGCTAGGATTATATCATTTAATTATTATTCACTCAAATGCCCCAATGTCATGGTTGTTAATGGTAATATGTTATAAATAAGTTTCAATTTGAAATGAAACTTATACCAATTGCTTGCTACTAGCAACTGATTTATCTGCGAATTTTGATATGCTGCAGTTGAAATCCTTTCGATTAAAAGTCCCCCTGAGCCCAAAGCCAAAAAATGAAAAGATTTTGAGATATTGAGTGTTAAATTTTCCTGTCATGCAAGCTTAAAGCTTACATGACATGAGTAATTTCGGTACATTGTACTCAGACAAGAGGGAAATTTTCAAAATTCTGTATCCCAAAATATGTTTATTTTTTAACATTGGGACTATAAGAATTTTTGATCAGGGTCTTTTTAAGCAGCAGATAAGTACAGTAACATCAAAGCAGTCAAATTTCGGAATCGTCATTACAGTAGGAATTAGATCAAACTGCATTTATGGCACAAGATCCAAAAATAAATGAGTAACGGGGTAACATTGGCTGTAATAACGATGAAACATTTCTTCTGACACTTTTGATGTATTTTGAGAGAAGTGTCAGATATTCGAAAGATCAGATAAATGGGGTTCCGCGGAACATATTATACTAAATATATTGTAATGATATATAAGGCTGTTTTTTTCACTTTTTCACTTTTATCTTACTATAAAAACACTTTATAACAATTATTTCTAAATATTTTAAGTAACATTTATTATTTACTATAAAAACAGTAACACACTAAAATATAAGGCAACTTCAACCATAAAGGTTTTGGGTAAAAAATCACTGTAAACAATGGCATAATTAAGCAGAGATTATGATAAAACAAAATTACAATATATAAGTTATTTATAAATACTTGGCAATTTCAATTATTCATTAAATTACACTTCAGTAGTAAAAGACAAGACCATAGATAATCATTATATTACAAAAAAGTTAAATAAAAAGAAAACTTTTAATAAAAAACTGAACTCTTGTGTTTTGAATTTTTGATAGCTATAAAAACATTTATGTAATAAAAACATATGGCAGCATAAGCCTATATGGATAGATACCTATCTAGACCATGGGTAGAATGCTAAAAACTATTGTAAATGGGGGCATGATTATGTAGATACATATTACAAGAGCGGAAATTTTAACAACAAAAATGAAATAACACTGTAATTTATAAAAGTTTGAGAATTTCTTTTTTTTTTTTGTTAAATAACATCCCTATAGTAGGTATTTATTACCTATAAACGCTCAGTCATTTTTTCTTTCAATTTAATTATATTCTTTAAATGTAAGATAAACTGATACTTCAAGAGATGCTGACAGACTTTAAAACATCCTCAATAAATTAATAACTGGTTCATACAATATCAAGTGTACAAATGTGTTGCACTCTCAGCCTATTTGGCCATGATTGCAATAATAAGATAAAAACTGATAAACACAAATTTTATGTTATTATTACAGCATTTATCCTGTCTTGATGATAGAATGAAGATATTGAGACTGGCGCTTCATTTGGACTCTGAGTCAGAGGAGGATAGACTAGACTGTATTGAGCAGGAGAGGACGTTGAGCCATGGCTCTTCAATGGTAGGACAACATGAGAAGCTAAGTACGCTGATAATGCAGAGAGTGACCGGGGGGTGTCATCAGTTGGAGCATTTATTCTTTGTAAGTGAGATGGTCTCGTAAACACTACTAGTAAATCTGAAAACAAATAGATAAATTGACTTTTTTTAACAATTTAAGTAGTCTATTAACTTTTTTCATGACATGTAATATAGCTTCAAGTGAGTAAATTATTTTTTGAAAAATTTTGTTCGTTCTGGTCATGATGCTATATCATAAAGAGTAAATAAATAAAATAATATACAAGCATTAAGTACTTCATATATTTATAGTTTAATAAAGTTTCGAGAAGAAAAAAAAGATTTTCATTTATGCAAAGAGAGGAACAAAAATAAATATAATTTTTCAATGCCACACATACTTATAAGAGTATTAACAAGTTTATTAATCTTATTATTTTACAAAATGTCTTCTCCCTTCCCTGTAAAGCACACTCTTTTTAAGAATTTCCATTTTAGCAGAAAGAAATGGAAAATTTTTATGTTTTTAGATTCCTCTAAAACATAGGAGAGCATGTCATAGCTCAAACAGTTGATTTACAAAAAATGTCTCCTCTCTTCCCCACAAACAACAGTTGTCAACAATTGTTTTACAAAATGTCCTCTCCCTTAATTACAAAGCACACTCTTTTTAAGAATTTCAATTTTAGCAGAAAGAAATGGGAGATTTATATGTTTTTAGATTCTTCTAAAACAGAGGAGAGCATGCCATAGCTCAAACATATAATTTCAATGCAGCTGTATAGTCTGGTGATAAATCAAATATGAGGACGAAATTCAATTACTAATGGTCAATTTAAACCTTTAGATCTAAAAGAAGTTCTTCCCAAGTTAAAAAAAAATATTAATAAAGAGTTTGTTATATTATAAGGTATGTATAAAACTACTTAAAAGTTGAATTTTAGTAATTAAACTATGTACATATTTTATTCTTTCTTAGAAGTACACTAAACAAAAAAAAAATTATATGTTGATTTGAATGTAAAATGCATGCCTTTTTGAAAAATAGCTTTCTTAAAATTTATTAACTGCAATATGATTTGGATGATCACTTTCAATATTTTCAGTTAAAGCTGTTTTTCTGCTAATGCAAAGCTTGAATAAATTCAATCACATATTACAAGTTACTCACTTTTAAATATTAAATGTTTATTAAAGAAAAAAAAATATTTATGATTATTTTGACAAAATTATTATTTTTTAAAGAATTGTTATTATAAAAATGCAAAATAAGAAAAATTAAGCTTTTCTAAGCTTCTAAATAATATTAAACTCTGTATTTAATTTCGCTGTTACAAACTGCAATATTTCTAAAAACTTACTCAGAAAAATCATTGTAGCGAATTTCGAGTCCCACGGTCTTGAAGGTTAGCCGAAGTTGCGACCTGATATTTGTCGAGTTCCAGATTTTGCACATAAATTTTAACTTTGAAAAAAATAGATTTAATTTTTTTTATAACCCTCGTTGAATAGCTGTCCAAATATTAGGCTTACGACTACTAACCTCCGTAGCCTTGTAATTTTGAATCTAATCCAGAAGACAAGGGAAATTCAGGATCAAGTATTTGGAGAAATTTGCCCTCGTAGAGGTCCTTTTTTTATGAAACTAATCCGCATTTTGTGATACATGGAGAAGAAAACCACAAAATTTCTCATAGTTAGCATGACGTCAAGCGTACTTGCCTTCCACTGAGGATATTTTACATCAGCACTGTGTTCGGTGTGAGCCCGGTGCAAAATTTGTATCAACCAACCATCACTGGGGTTTGAATGCGGCTAACCTCATTGGAAGGCGAACGCTCTAGCCCCTGAGTCGCCACGGGTCCTGGGTAAAATTAGAGATGGTATTTTGATTTCAAACACATGTTACAAGCCGAAACTTACTCGCCAGCCCTAAATATTCAACTGGTCTAAATTTCACGCCCTACATTAGAGGAACTATTATAAATCTATTTTTAGTGACTTCAGATATTACACACAAAAATGTTAAAAAAAACACAAACCTGCACCGCAAAACCTAGCTCCAGATGTCCTTGGAAAAGGCACACTCACATCCTGAAACCCATAATGTGATGGGGGATTGAATCCTTGCTTTGTTGCATCTGAATGAAATGGACTTTCCGGCATCTGTGGCTGACTTTTATCATCAGACTGTAAACATTCAAATGATAAAAAATAAGATTTAGTTTGAAACAATGAATTTATCAAGAAATTTTTAATTAAAATTTTTAAAATTTACAAAATTTTCTAAGTGAAAAAGCACTATTGCATTTTCCGTCATAACGGGAGATCCACTGCATAAAACAGCACAGTATTTTTTTTATTTAAAAACTAAGGAGCTGCTGTAAAGTCAACCCTAAATTTAGGCTTGTTCATAATGAAATTTTTTGTTTTAAAGCATGAACATAAATAAATAAAGAAATAAACGAAATATCACACAATTAACAAATATTAAAACGTGTACTATTATATTTTCTGTTGCAATAGTCAGACCATAATATGAGACATAGTATTTTTTTTAAATTTAAAATCTTGTGCTAGTGTGAAGTGAACACTAAATTTACACTTGCTCATAATGAAATTTTTATTTCTAAGCTATAAACAAAAAATCTAATTTTGAAACATTTACTTAAATAAAAAAAATTTTTCAAAATATTAATTCTATATAGGTAGTATTTTATCTCTTTTTCTTATTCAAATATTTGTAAGAGACTAATGAAAACTCTATTAGACTCCATGCTCAAAAAAATTAAAGTACATCACACATTATTTAACAAATTTTTGAAATTTTAAATTTTCAGCTGGAAATTTTGCAAGTAAATAAATAATAAGTCTAAGAAATATTGTGTAAAATTATTTTGTCTGTTTCAAAATAGTTATAAAATTAAGTTGTTTAAAACTGTTGTTTTCACAATTATTAAAAGATGAAAAATGGCATTACTCAGTTTAGTTTTTATTAAGATGGCTTCAATAAGAAATATGCAGCAAAATTTTGTACACTTTACAAGCTATTGTTATAAATATGTTAAGATGCATTTATATCCCAAATAAAAATGATTTTTAAGGGTAATTTATTAGTTATATAACCTGTTACAGGAAAAAAAAGGAATTTTAAATTAAGCTCAATGATTGTTGTTTTGGAATAACGCAGAAAAGTTAACAATTTTTTTTTTTAAAAAAAAGATAAGTATAAAATGATTAGGGTAAGTTAGTCATACCAATATACACAAGTTTGTTTAACAAATAATCACGTTTAAATTGAAATATTTGATTCTTTAGTAGTGGAATAGATCAACAATACTTTTAATTAAATATAAGGCAAAAAACTTACATGTCTTAAAAAATAGTGGTAAGATGAATTTCATTATTATCCTTTTTTTAATTTAAAGTAAAAGTAATTTAGAAAAAGTGGTATCCATTTTGAAGAGATAAAAAATAACAAGATGGGACATAAATGACTGTCTGCATATGGTTACAAAACTGTCTGCTTTGCAGAGAGGGTACAAAATGACTTATGAAAAGAAGATTCATGGGGAATTGAAAAAATGTCTCAAATGAGACACATCCATTTTGTAAGACTGTTTGTAACACATAGCCATAAGATAATTCATTAATAAAAGTTTGTCGTAAAAATGCATTAAATTAAAATGATGTTATTATGAAATATTTATTACAGAGCTTGGTACATAATAACAAAGTTTTAATTTAATGTCAATTTTACAACTATATACCACAAAAGCAAAAAAAATAAAAAGACAAAAACTCTCTTTATAAGGAAATAGCTGATACATTAAAAGAGTGAATCAATAATATAAAATTTTTGTAAAATAAATAAATAAATCAACATGAAAACTGAACTTAACCTATTATGTTCACTTACAGTTAATGCATCTAAAGTGCTGACAACCTGCCGAAGACAAGGTTCTAAGCAAGATCTATTTCTTCTAACTTGCTGTGAAGACACCATTTTTAAAACCTAAATAATAAAGTTTAATTTTAAAACATTTTTATCAACATAAATTTTTTACATTATAATATAATTACGGTATTAATTATAATATAATTAAGATATTAATTATAATATAATTAAGATATTAATTATAATATTATTAAGATATTAATTATAATATAATTAAGATATTAATTATAATATAATTAATATATTAACTATAATAGAGTAAGGTTAACAATAATATGTATTTCATAAAACAAATTTCATAAATTATAACATATAATTCAATTTTTTTTAACAAAACTAAAATTCATTTTGTTGTAAACTAAATTTTCAGGACTTACTTTTAGAATTTTGGACTTCATATCTTCATCAATATTAGTTCCTTTGCAAAATTGAAAAGATGGAGGATTATTGAAAGGATATGATGGCGGAAATAAGAGTTTCAAAGAGACTTTGTACTGTCCCTTTTTAACATTTACCGTGCAGGATCGCTTAGTTGCATCCATCTAAATCAAATATGATATAATTATTAAAAAGATCAGGAAAATGAATTAACTCCATGTTTTTGGAGTATAATTTGATTGCCTTTATTTATATTTATTCAGACCAATTAATATTTATTTAATGTTTACCTCATCAATGGTGACATTAGGAATGTTCAAGTTAACGAGAGAAAACTCCTGCTGCAGGTTTTGAGGCTGAGCAGGTGTAGTAGGAACAGGCGTTGTATTTCCATTTCTGTCCTTCAATTTGACAGGAGAGGTAGGTGGGGTGCTAGGAACTGTAGCTTCAGTCTCTTTTGTACTAGTTGCAGAAACTTGACTAGCATTGTCTTGAGATTCTAAGAATGCATCTGTTGCTTCATCATCAGGAAATTCATGCCCACATGACTAAAAATGTATCAGGCATAACATTAAATATGATTCTGTATTAAAATAGTAATAAAACATTTGTAAAGAGAGTAGTGCATTAACCATCATGCATTAAAAAACTAGCAATAAATATTACTGTTAATATTTATTACAATAATATTCATATAGTTATTACAATAATAATTAATATTATTATATCCACTATATTAATATTAAAAATTAAGTTCGCTGCATACCTGCATCCTAAGAGATATCACGAGCATTAATCAGACAAACTGATTTATTTCAATACATACCGATATAGTATTTACAAAATAAAAAAAATAATGGTATTCATTTACAAATATAAAGGCTGCATTGAGTATTTTTAACAATAGTTCAAATATGATTGTTTGGGTGAAAAAAACTGATTTGCGAAAATATGGCACTAACATTGATGCACTGATTGAATGAGAAAAACATTTTTAGTTTGCTGTTGATTCTCCTGCATTGTGAGGAAATAGTTGCATAAGTTTTTCAAATTAAAATCAAGGAATGATTATGCATTTATCATGAGACACTTTTATCTCTTAAAATATAAGAAAATTAAGAGTCAAAATTTTAAGAGAAATGAAAATGCATAAGAAAATCTGACAGTCAAATTCATTTAAAATAATTTTGATTAGATCTTTATTTTCTGCCATTCAATGTAAAGTGTAGTGGGGGCAAGTGAATTTCTTAAATACGTTATATAAATTTACTCTCAGTATTTTTTTACACAGGTTTTTGTATGAATATGAACAAAGTCATTTTCATGTATTCACATTTTGTAATACTATATTTTAGGTATAGATGCATCATTTATAGAATATTTTTTGACAAATATATTTATTTCCTCCGTCATGTTTCAGACAAAACTGAGGAATAATTCATGTAGTTTCTTCTTTCAATTTAAGTATTAATCAATTCCCATTAATTTAGTTTTAAGAATTTACAACAAAATATTTTTTGATTTGTAGTCTTTCTCCAAAGCAGATACCTCTCCCAAAATAGGCAATTTTCTTGGTCTTGGAGGTGTTTGCCTCCCCCAGGTGTCATCGAATTAACAGAATCAAAAGTAAAATTTTAAGAGAAACAAAATTAGTAAATTTCATATTAAAACTAATAATGCTTAAAAACAAATTACTAGTCAACCACTAGGTAAAATTAGCCCATAGTTTGGGTTTGGAGAGGATTATGATTTAAAAAAAAATTATGATAGCTAAAGAAACAATGTTTTTAATTAAAAACAAACATATATAATACTGTGAGTCAGTTTCATACAAGAATTTACAATTTAAGAAAATCTTGTTTAAAAGATGCATTCTTAGTCTATAAATTACTATTATATTTGGTATAAAACTTATTAGTTATATGGCTATAAAGTTACCTTAACAATTTTCAAAGTGCAAACTAATTCCAATTAGATTATCCACAAGAAACAATAGCAATAATAATGTACAAACAATAAAAATCTTCAACATTAAGTATAATACAGAATATTTACAGATATGTGCACTCAATCCAAAAAGTAAAAATCCAAATTTATTAAAATAACTTTTTAGTAAAACAAAATATAAGTTTAATGACTAAGAGACAAAATGCATCATGCATGCTTTACTAATAAGTGTCAGAATCAAATATGAAAAATTATGTATGAGCTTAATAAAAACAAAATAAATTACTCTTTGCAAATGCGTATCCACAGTCCATGTTCGTAAGCAATTATCCTTTGAAAATGTGACAAGCTGGTACTCCCTAGAATCTGAAATTAAAAAAAATTAATTAATTGGCATAAAAATCAGACATATTTATGCATAAAATAATTATCTCTTATGAAATCTGAGTAACATAAATTTTCATCGAAAATTTTTATTTTTTAGATTTAAAAAATCCTTAACAATCAAAAAATCAGTTTAAAAATAATTTTGTGTTTCAAATGCAAGGAAGCAGTTAAAAGATTTATTCTAATGCAATGGAGTTAATGGAAGCAGTTAAAAGATTTATCTATTTTTTAATGATATTTTGCACAAAATAAGTCGCTACAACGGACTGTTATGCTGAGTCTTACACTTAAGGAAAGAGACTGACAGAAAAGAAATTATACTTCCTCTATGTTAACCTACAGAGAATAGCATAACAAAATTTCCTTACGTATTTAGAAACTAATTAATATTTTTGTTTAATTTTATTTATTGAAATGTATTGAACCTAGTTGTCAAATTTTAAGGCTGTAAGTATTTGAAAAAAATGTTCAAAGTTAAAGTTCAAAAAATATTTACTACATTGAAATTCAAAACACTGATAGCTTGGTTCATTAGAACACTTTTGCATACTTAAAATGAAAAGAAAAGTAGTCAAAAATATTAATTAAAAAATATTGTTTATATAATTTTTTTATTGAACAAATAAAAAAGAAGAATTTGAATATCTTTTCTGTGTGAAGAGGATCCTAAATACTTGAAATAATGAAAAAGTAAATACAAAAAAAAATTCTAATACTATGCTAAAACTGAGAGACTATCTATCTAGGCGTCAGAGTGATCATAGATTGTGGGTGAAGTGCGCCGTGCCCATGACTTCTAGCACAATATTAATCTATCAAAAATCATAGTTTGCTTAAATTAAGAAAAAAATTCCAAAGTATTGGATTCAAGCAAGATATGAGGACTCTGCCTTGAGTGAAAAAGCTATGAAGGTTCTCATTTCCTTTTCTATTGCATACCTGTATGAAATTGAGTATCAAATGTAGCTGTTTTAAAGCGAATATACTTCTGTGAAATAAATAAATTTAAAAATTGCAAAGATTTTCAAGCTATTTTTCAATATTTTAAAAGCCATGCAATAAGCAGCAGACTCCCATATTGAACAAAACAAATTCACAATGCCACAGATTGTGGATATTTTTTATTGTTGATTGCTTTCTCTTATATTATTAAAACTTACAATGTTATATGTTATTTTTAATACTTATATGTTATACATTAAAATTTAGAATAATGTATAGTTTTAATAATAATAACAATAGAATTATATATTATCATTACCATACCAATAATATAAATTATGATTAATTATTATATGATTAGAATGCATGAAACAGTTTTAAAAGATGATCATAAGGGTGTCACATCTTGAAAAAGTTACAGTGCCCTTGGTATCGGTGCTATAAGATACTATTGAATTTTACAATTTTCCTGAATTTAAAACATACTATCTTAACTCAAGTTCAGTATCTTGAATATATATGTACCTTTTAATACACTTTTCCTTCCTTGCAATCTGCTATAACATAATAATTAATGCTGTATCAGCAATCTGGATTTATACCGTAGAACACACAAACAGAAAAAAAACTGAAGGAATTGTAAATGTAATAGGATAGCTCAAACTATTACACACCATAATTGTTTTACATTACCATTTTTTGTGATGTACATTACAAATCTGCACTTTTTTAATATCTTTAATGCCTGCCAAAATGAAAACTTCTCTACTCTATTTCACATTCTGTTTGCGACTTCTCATAAGCAAGATTAGAAAATCTGCAGCTCATATGATGCAAAAGAAAAATTAATACCAGTACCTTCTGACGATTTTCTCCATCCAAATTCTACGACCACATCCGAGTGACCAAAAAAAGTATGGACAGGATTGGTGCAATTTTTTATATTCCACATGAGCAAGCTGTTGTCACCTCTTCTGAGTGGAGGTACAACAACAGTCACTAAACCTTGACCAAATGGCTAGAAAACAGAGAAAGACATTGTTATGGAGTTGAACATCAGTAGTCGTAAATCCCAAAAATTGGGTCGGTTGTTCAACAACAGTTATAAAATAAAATAACTGTGTTCAGGTCCATGTAAACTTAGCAGAACTGAACTGCCAATTTAAGGTGGAATGAATTATAGAGAGTCATTTCAATGCAGTTGCAATAAAGATATAATCTTTTTTTAATCTCTGTGATTGCAATGCTTATTTTTAATCATAAACTTTTACAATTAATCAGACTTAACTTGTATACAAAATAATAGTCAATTTAGTCATCGCAAGAAATTTTCTAAGCATGCATAACCTGTAATGGTTCATGGATTCCCTTAATCAAATTGTGTCAATTCAAACATCAAATCTACTATTAAAATTATTTAAAGTATAAGATTTCATTTTTCGTTAAATATTATTACACTTTATCACACATTTTCATAAATTATTACACTTTAACTTAAAGGAAACCTTCTCAACTGTCAGTAAACAAGTTTGATGGTTTTTGGTTTGGCATTAAAACAAAAACTTTAAGAATGCTAAAGTTGATAACTAGAAATTTGAATTATAAAAAATAAGTTATTTCTAACTTATGTTATTTAAAAAAATATTTGATGTAATGATTTTGGCACAAAAAATGACTAATATAATCAGTTACTCATGATCAAAAGAAGATGTAAAAATCAATAAAATGCATGAACAAATAGTTATTTAAAGAAATAATTATTGATACTAAAATGTTCCTTAATGCGATTTCTAATTATAAAAAATTGATATTTCTAATAATTCTTGAATTATTTTTTTCTTTATCAGTCAAAATACTTGCAGATTTACAAAACTCATATTTAATAATCGAAAACAAATCTAACATAACATCACTCTCAATTTGCATGAAAATTAACCTTAAAAGGAATTTCAACACATCATAAATTTATGCATTGTTCAAACTTTATTCACCAAAAGTTGGCGAAATTGGTACTCCCCTTAATTAAATTTTTTTCCTAGGTTTTCCAATTTTAGCTAATGTTCAAATCAAACAGTGACAGTTTCTAGGGTCCTTTATTAATATTTAAAAATTTTTCAAAGATGTTTATTTTTGTAAATTAAAATTATTTTTTTCACATTTCCTTCTGAAATAGTTAAAAAAACAAAAATGTTGATAATTTAGCTATATTTTATGTTCATAATTCTAATAAATAATAAAAATCAAACAAAAATTAAATACTAAATAGTATTTAATTTTTGCGGGACATTTGCAGGATATTTGCGGGACATTTTTTTTTACAATTCAATTCAAAACAAGTCTGTTTCTTAAAGACTGCATAGAAAACAAATAAAAAATTAAAGTTTAAATACTTGAAAAGGGATTTAATATAGTCGTTATGCACGGGACTCAGAAAAAAGATTAATTTCTACCCTGACTTCTATTTTTCATAAACTCTGTGAATTTAAAACTTGTATATTGTCATTATATTTTTTTCTTAGCTGATAAATATTACTTCTATTAAATTATGCTGGATGTTTTCCAAATACATTATTTGATAAAATTCTAAATTTATTTTATTTGTGTTATGCACGGGACATACCTAATGTTATGCACGGGACAGGTCTGCAATTTATTACACACGGAAGCATACACTTGATTTAATTATGTATATTTTGAAGTGGCAACACTAATTCATACTTTGAATTTAGTTTGGTGATCTAAATTAGAAGCTTTATAAATCATTATAAAGGATAATTACAACTGTATCGCCAAAGAAAGAAAACAGAGTTTAGGAATAATACACCATCAAGAAGCCAAATTGAAAATGCCTACTGTTTGTCTAAGATAGGTACTCTGACCGCCACTAAGTCTGCGGTAGTCTGGTGCTATGGAAACAAGAAGAGGGCATTTTAGGGAGGATGGCTTCGATGAAGAGGTCTCCTTTTCTTTCGCCGAAACCAGTCCTAAAGAGGGACCCCGCATCCCTACATGAAATAATCATACCTCGTTACCATAGTCACCGCCACAGCTCCAGACGAATGTCTGGCAGAGTACCTATCGTAGACAAACAGTACAAGATTTATCACGCTTTCGGAAAAACAATGAGAAAACCATTAAAATCTTTACCTAAATCTCCAACCCCCCCCCCCAAAAAAAACCCAGTAGTTTCTGCAATTGCAACAAATTTTGGCTTAAACATGCAAGCTAGTCAGAAAAATACTATTAGTGATGAAGAGTCACCTAATTTATTACGATAAATTTTTTTCCGTCCAGATATTTTTTTTTTTTTTTGCAGCACCAGGAATGAAAGATGAAGTTACAGTTTGGAAGAATGGTGAGAAAATTAAATTAAGAAAATTTTATTTGGTGACATATCTGAATGAAGCATCAGAGTTGGCAAGGTTTAAGAGAGAAAGGATTAATCAACGGTTTAAACTGTCCTTTCCAAAACTCTATGAATCAAATTATATTAAAATTTTCAAAAAATAATGTGAAAAATAAAAGGTTAATTTTTGAACAAGGAACAAAATGAAGACAAGTTTTTGTTTTGTTAAAAAATTTATTATTACTTTAAATATTGCATTATTTATCCTTATGCAAAAACATAATTTATCAGTACTAAAAGCATATTTAAAGGATAAGGTACTCACTTTTGTTATTCAATGAATTGTGTAGCTTCAAAAGTTATTGATCTTTTCCTATTATATTATTTTCCTTTAATAAGTTAAAGTAAATTGTATAAAAAATATAAAATATTTATTAATGTATGTAATTATTATGTGTTGAATAGTTTTACATATAGAATTTTTATCTTTTATCAATGTTTAAGGTTTTGGACACTTTAAAACAGTTTAGGACAGTTTTAGGCAGTTAAGACAGTTCCAATTGTGCAGTCTGCGGAAGATTTTGTAATTGTTGTAAAAAAAGCTGTGCCACCTATTACAGTGATGCTATTTTTAGATAAAGATATAAACAGAGATAATAATATGTGCGCCAACGCAAGACTAATACCAGGAATTTCTAAAATGCATGGAATTACATATTCGCCTTCTGGTTTAAAATTTTATAAAAATGCTGTAGCACCAATAAAAAGAAATCTTAATACCAGGGCAATTATCACCACAAAAAGTGTTGGAGGAAATTGGGTTGTTGTGAAATATGATAATAGTTTATATGCTGGAGAAGTGTGGTATTGCTTTTATGATGTTTTGTTACTTTTATATATATGTGGTATTGCTTTTATGATGTTTGTTACTTTTATCTTTGCTGCACTGCTCTGCACTGCTATAATTACTTTAAGTTTTAGTTTCTCTTTCATAAGTTTTCACCTGCCCTTTTCTGCCCTTAAATAATTTAGCCAAAAATAAAAAAAAAAAGAAATAGCAAGTATAGCCCTACTTATTTTGTGATGGTGGTAACAGCCAATAAGAGTTGAGTATGCTTTGGGGGCTTGGTTAGAGGAGGTGAGAGAAAAGGGAAGGACACACATGGTTTTGGAGAGCTGGGGTTAAGAGATAAAAATATGAGGATCCTCAACAGCTAAGTTATATTATAAAATTTTCTATCACCCCTTAATTATTTTTTTTATTTATTTTACTTGTTAGCAGTGCAGCTTTATAATGTATAATTTCATGTAAATTCATTTTTATGTACCTATTATTAATTAGTGTGAATGCCTTCCTGGAACAAAATTTGTAACTCTAAATATCTTAAATGATCTACTTTAAATAAATAGTTTTAACACCTTGCAATTAGTGATCATTCTAATGATCTTGTTCTCTTACTTAAGAGCATATTATTTTTAATTGTTATTCATTTTTATTCTTATCTTAATGTGTGTGGTGATGAACTGAACATCACCACATAT